TACTTTCTAGAGGTATTTCTTTGTACAAAATATGATAGCAATGAGTATATGTGATTTTAAACCATTAACTTATAAAAATCAGCATACTGAATGAATTACTGAAAAATGTTTGCTGATAGATTACCTTGAAGCTAGAAAGTTAAAAAAGAACTAGAAAATGGGCTCAGATGTATTGTTTTATTTCGACACATTCTAAAACAAATCATTTCGCTTGTATCCCCACAACTCAATGTTGAACGCTGGTGTAGTGCTTACCTAATAACATCTCTAAATTCATATCTGAAGGAAAATCTATAAATATATTAGTAAATTATATCTCAGAATAAGATCAACAGATCATTGCTGGAATAAAAGGAAAAATATTGTCAGACTGTTTACCATAAGCCGCAAACCTATTAATCAGTTTGTCGGGAGAGCTGAACAGTATCCGTAAAGCGGAAAATTCGAATAAAATTGTAATGAGTAAGAGAATTATCATAAATGGTGTACTTAAATCGTAGTTCGAAATTAAGTGACTTCATTCAAAGTGGTAGTTACTAAACAGATTAAATATCTTATCTCCACATGTTCTATAAATTAGAATTATTACCCTGATAACTTCGGAGAACTGAAGGTTTCATCAAATCTAGCTGGGTGTTATCTAAAGTGATAAGATATCATTAGACCCTTGGAAAATGTTTTATTAGGCACCTTCATGGTCATCTTATGGCACCTGAGTAAGTTTCATTTCACTGCCTCATGGTACCCTATGTTGTTCAAGAGCTACATAGCTAAATCCGTTTGATATGAAATGCTGAAACCAATCTATGTGAGAATTTCCTACTGTCTTGAACATGGAATTGAATAAAACGAATATCATATTACTATTACAACAACTGACATGAGCATTTATGTTGTATCTGTCATCACAGTCAAATGTGTCTAATACTCTATATTATCTTATATCAGTGATTCTGCTGGTGTTTTTCCATGAGTCTGCATTAGATAATTGATACTCCAATTAAAAGACGAAATATCGTGTGGTCAGCAGAAGTCTAATTTCTTTTGCTGAATGTCAGAGATCTTAACTTTAATATCTTATTTCCAAACTAATTAGTGGGACAGGTGGATTTGAATGTGGTAGCTACTAACAAAAACAAAAGTTTTGCTGAGGACTCCCACCCTATCATTTTGCGGTAGTTAAGTGTTCCAATCTGTTCCTTGTGCCATTTAAGCTTGTATTAACCTGAAAAAGTGATTTATTCCCTGTAAAATAGATTCACACTCAGTTCTGAAGCATTGGAAATTGAATTTTTAGTCTTTGGAATATTACTAAGTTATTATTCGCTATTATGACTATTAGTATTGTGATGTGTGCTACTTTTGTCGACAGATATAATTAGTATGCAACGCCAGTTGGAAGTGAAAACCCTCGTTGCAGAAGGCTAAGAAGATTAAGTTGAAACGAAAATAGAAAGGAATTGTGACTTGGGAGAACTATACAGAATGTGAAAGGAAAATGATGGAATTTCGCAAATGAAGTATTCAATGTATGGTTCACATATTTTAACAAGAGATTCTGTAATTTGTACTGAATTACATTGGCTGTCTCCACTTACGTCCTCATACATTACGGTATTGTTACCAATAATCTACCGATTACTCAGTTCCATTAAATTATCGGGCAGAGTTGTATTAATAATACCTAAAATTCCATTCCAATCTTAAGAATTCATTTAGCATGCCTTAAATGAGTCCTGAAATAACATACTTACTTACGCCTGTTACTCCCAATGGAGCATAGGCCGCCGACCAGCTGAAATAACATAAATCGTTTATATTTCGTTATCAATAAATCAATAATAGATACGATTCTGACTCATAATTTTGTCTAAAAAATGTTTCTGCATGTAAGCTAAATACTCTTTTCACTAGACAAACAGATCAAGATTAGATTGGAAAAGAAATATTATAATTAAGTTCGTTGTGGTGACGTATGAATCACTTAACTACTAAGATAAGCATGAATATAAGGTAAAAAAAACCCAATCAGATCATGTTGTATAAAGTTATTTTGACATGAGATATTTTTCTGTCTTAATTTCAATTATAATGCATAGGTTCACTATCTATTTAAGCTTATTTAGCAAATAAATAAATTGAATGTTAGTAGATTGAATCAAGTTTTCGTATAAAGAAATTTCTTAATAAACAAAACTAACATTCTTCTCACTTATGTATACACACAATCTGGTATCTTAACACATTTTTCGTTTCATACTACATATCTCATACACACTAATTTAAACATTGTTAACGTTAATTGGATGATCTATTCAATATAGAGTGAACCGGAGAACCATGTACCTATTTAGATTCGATCATTTTGATGTTTAATTATATTTCCTTGAAAAAGCTTGAACCGGATTGCTAGATGAAACGTTGGATTTACTTCAAATTCATTCACTTTGATATTATAGATACATTCTTCCTTTTTAATGTTTAACGTTTATTTATTTCATTTGTTTAAATAATTCCAAAACTTAAATGGTTTTTGATATTATTTTTCTCATTTTCAAATTAGCATTGCTATCAACTAGTTTTTTCTTGTCTGAAATGAACACTTCATCTTTCTCTTCTTTTTTTCTTCACTCGTAACATTTCCTTTCAACTACTATATTAAATGAAGATAGAAAGCATATGTAAACATTGATTCTGTTCAGGATAAAATGTGGAAATCATGTTTATGAATGATTTTTATTAAATAAGCTAAAAGAAAATTAGGTTTCCTTATCTCTTGACTGAACAGAAGGTAGTTATATATGTACAAACTTTCAATTTATATAAACTTGATAACGTTTCTCCAGAAGGATGAATTTCGGTGAGACTGTAATTTATGGACGACATGTGAGCGACGCTAAAGTGACCTTGAGAGTGTCCACCTAATAACTAAGATCAAATGAGGGTTATAAAGCAGTGTGAGGAATTAGAATTATGATTTGCAGTTGATAGTTAATGTTAGGAACTAGACTTAAGGTTTTCATCACGAACTGACATCAGCTATAATGGCAAAATTCTATTTTACCAAATGGATGAGTGAATTTCGCGCCAAAATCTGAGACCTGTTATCTTATACCTGATTAATTCGTCCATAAATTATGGTCTCGCCTGAATTTCTTCATTGATTTTTGAGTTTTATTAACAGCTAAACATATGTTCTTTATTTATACCGGTTATATAAGATAAAGCGTTAAAAACAACTAAAAAACCGCGCAACATTAATGAGATTCTTTGGTCTACTTTGGAATTTTTTAGCACAACGCACTAATCATACTAAATGAGATTGAACACAAAACCTCAAGATATCGGTAGAGACCTAACTTTAAAAGTATTGAAGATCAATCATTATCTGCATGAGTTGTTCAAAAACAACCTAGCAGTAGGACAAAGAACATAGTGCTTATCTAAAATCCCTGATTTGTTTACTTTGGATTGCATCTACAACGTCCCAATGACAATCTGTATGTTAATTTACTCATCCATGCAGTAAATGACAGGTAAATTCGCAAACAGATTTACCGCATAATAATCAGTGATATCAAAGTATATACAATCTAATAGTTGTTAGACCCGCATAAATAATTTCTTGACACAAGCAGCTACGTGAAAGGATACATCTGCCACAATGAATTTTCCTGATTATATTAAGTACTGCCATTAAAAATAGATCAGAATCTCCTTGAGAGAGATTCAAACAGTAGATATATCAACAACAAAACAAACTGTAATCCATTTACGAATAAGACTGAAAAGTCTCATAACTAAAGAATTTGGTCAAATAAATTCCATTTTTAGAAGTCTAGTGAATAAAGCTTTCATTTGACTAATCGTGTCTTTTTAATGTTTGACTTATTATTCTTTAAATCATATTACCTACTCCTTTACACCACAAAGGTTACTCGTGATTTTTCACATTAATATAGCACTCTCTAGTCGTTATACTTTAGTAATGACTTGATTTAAAATTCTACGCCTGTGAAGTATATTTTCATACATGGAAGCGGACAAAATATTCAAGTTATTTATTTATTTTTTCTGGTAGGATCTGTAACTTCAGTATTCCTCCTTAAGTTTGTTACATATCTATGAATAAGATAAATTTGAAAGGATCAACTCTTAATTGATTGGATATAGACTATAAAACTGTGTGAACATATGATAAAATGTATCAAAATACTATTGATACATTTATTTCATATTTAGTGCTGATAAATTCCATAACCCTAACTATGAAATGTTTAATTATTGAATTTCATCTAAGTATTAACACATAGGAAACCCGAAACGTTTATCATTTTTAAAAAATAATCAAATAAATCCAAATTCGGTCACTACGCTAAAATTCAGGTGACAACAAATATAATTTACTTTATGCTTAATGACGAACCAAAGTGAAATAAATAGTTTCAGAAGGGTTTTTTTTGGGGAGATTGTAGTAATTTCAACAGTTGAGATCATGAGTCAATTGAAACTAGACCACCATGGAAAACCTGGAAGCACTGGACGATCGTTTCGTCTATTGAGTTCAAACGGGTCAGTTGTGAGGTAGTAACTCATTGAACACAATGGCGGATGTGTCACTCAATTTCGTGAGTTAGTTGAAGTTAGACATTAACACCGTTGGATGTCGGCTGGTTCAGTGTTCTAGTTGGTTAAGCGCTCGCGCGCGAGACTGATAGGTCCTGGATTCGAATCTCGAGGGTGGCGGGGTCGTGGATGCTCACTGCTGAGGAGTCCCGCAATAAGACGAAACGGTCGTCCGGTGCTTCCAGGTTTCTTTTCATGGTAATCTAGCTTCAAATGACTCATGATCTCAACTGTTGAAATAAATAGTTCACCGATTTGACGAGTAAATTCACAATCCAACAATTCTATTCGACTAACTGAATCTAATGGTATTTTATCTGGTAATTCAGTAATTAGAATGTAGAATGAATAAATTACCAGAAATATTGATTATGGGAATATGTCAAATTACTTTTATCAATTATAAAAACTATTATCATAGTAGTTTTCTTTTTCTTTTAAGATAAAGATGTTTTTCTATACACATATATTGAATGACTTCTTTAAATTGCTAAGAATAAATGAGAAAAAAATTTTTTTGTTTTTGTTTTGTGAAACTGAGTGACATGAAAGTTTATGTCATTATCTTTTTGTTTTTTTTGTTTTGAAAAAAAGGATAAAAAAAGGAACCGTTTTATCTCGAAGAAGAAACAAAAGTGTGCGTAAGTATTTGTTTGGATTATATTATCATATAAAATAAAATCAATGTAAATGTTTATTTTCTCATAAAGATATAAGGAATAATTGCATTATGACATGAATAACAACTGTCGTTAGATCTCTTATCACCACTATTAGTAATAGTAGTAGTGGTAGTAGTAGTAGTATTGATAGTATCAAAAGTTGTATTAACATTAAAGCATCCTTAACTGACCAAAATCACTACTTATCTACTAGCATCAATAAAATAATTGAAGTCATTTTATTAAGAAAACAAACAATAAAAAATAACAAATTTTTAACTACAACAATCTTTTTTGAGAAAGAAATCTATGGTATAAATAATAGAAGAAATATGAACAAAATATATGAACAATAATCATCATTATAATAATAAAATAAGTATATTATGATAAAAACTAATGATACATTAGTTGACGAGGTAATAAACAGAAGGAACGATTTTTTTTTTTTACCGTAAAAATCTACAGTAGGAAAAGATAATATTGCCACTATGGAACAACATGAATGTTTGTACATATTCATGATAAAAAAAGAACAAAGTTAATAGGTTTTAAAGTACATATGAATTGACAAAAAATAACACTTTTCAACAATGTAGAAATATTTACAAATTTTGAGCACTATAATAGTGAGTAAAAATAATAGTAATGATGATGTAATGCACCGAAACGTAATTATATATATATTCTTTTCTATACAACACAATACATAATATATAGAGGAACTCATCTGAGAGAAATATATGTGATTGTCATTGTTTTGTCTTTTTGTTTTTAAAGAAAGGTATACAAATAACACAGCCAATCTCTTAAATGTAAACAAATATTAGTTATTCAATAATAAGATTTGAGTAGTATACAATAGATATTCATTATATATTTAAAACAAAGACTGATAACAATAATCTAAAGTATGAATGATATTATGATAAGCAACAAAAAATCTTGAAATTTACAAATAAAAATTGCCTCAAAATATGGATTTTTTAAAAAAAAGAGAGTAAAATGATACATTAAAACAATGGTATTATTGTACATATTATAGGTTATTTTATACACATGAACTGATTAGTAACAAACAATAGGTTACATAAATGTTGTAATATAATTAAATGATGAAATTATGAAATACTTCGACGTAAACGATTAGCTAAGAGACGTAATTCTGATTCAGGTAAAGAATTTTTAAAATTGCCAAGAAACTGTAAGATTTTCATATCAGGACGGATCGAATAACGACTATATATTTGATAGGAATAAGAAACAATAAGAAAATACACCATTCGATTTATATATATAATATATATAAGTGAGCTTGAATTTCTAACAAACTTTTAGAAAACAAGTGCTTTACCAATCCTCAACAGTAAACAATGAAGGTGGTAATACAATCAAAGCTTTACTTCAAGGTTGTTCTACGTAGAGGATCTATTAGGTATTAATTTGGTAATAAGCTATTTAGTGGTTGAGAATATTGAGAAAACATGCTAAAATAAATAGTCTGTACGTTCACGTTCAGATCGAAGGACAAGATAGGTACATCGACACTCAGAATTTACCGAAGGTATTGAATGAAATAAAGAGATTTTTAGCCTTTTGAAGATATTTTAAGGGCTTTATGGGAAATTATTGACAAATAACACTTATGGATAACATCATATAACAGAGAATACATGTGACGACTATGTTTGTTGCAAATAGTATGTGACAACTCATCCAAAGAATTATCTTCAAAATTCTGTTAAGTTTATGAATGTATGTCAATTAAATATTAATTTGTTTTTGTGATCTCAAATTGTTTCCATCTTTCTTCAGATATTTTTGTTATTAAGTAACATTAACTACTGAGATTCATTTGAATTTGAATTTTTTTTCAACTACATGCACATCTTCAAGAGATGCATTTTTCTCTAGTTTATTACCTCTTAAAAACACCTTCTTTTTAAAGCATTTCTAAGTTGATTAACCGTGTATTAATAATCAGCTATTAGCACACATCTTCAAACTAATTCTAGTAGGATACCGATGATCAAGTAAACAAACAACATTTAAACAACTTCAGCATATTGAAAGCAACGATAACAATAGCATGGTAGAATCATGAAGTTATTGAAACAATTATGAAGAAGTGGAGAAAAAATTCGACGAGAAAATGGGCTCAAATAAATGGCCAAAGAGATTGTAGTGGTTGGTCCTATGTCAAGCCCACATAAGTTATTCTAGCTTCTGGACAAACCAACTTATCCATTCTTCTTAAGCTGCATTTTGACCTTGTCACTTATTGGCTTATTAACCTTGATTGTTTTTATAAGAGCGTGTTTACGTGCATTTCTTATTTTACTCATCACATATCTGTAAATTAATTTTGTGTAACTATCAATATCGATTTCCGCTTGGTTAAATTGAGTTTGCTCACTCGCCTTCTCCACTGCGTGTCGTTTTGTCTTGCTTCGCCTTCCGATCAACGATTATACAAAATATACGTATTCAAAAATACATTCTCGTATTTGACTTATATCAGTTCCGTTATTCACTAACGCGATTTAAGTCAATAATTATATGCGAGGATTGGCGATATGTATATTTCAATCACAATCGTTATACGATCCAAATGGAGCCAGATCTCGGGCCACTAAAGGATTTTATTTGTACTTATTCGACTTCAAACGCTAGCTACGTGCTTATTATCAGGGTGAAAAGTTCGGTCAAAGTAGCAGATTTAAAGATAGTTAGATAAAAGCAGAAAAACGAAGCATTATCGAGTGCAAACATAGTAGTCTAAAAGTAACTGACGAGCTGAAAGACATGATGGCCATAAGTGGGCTGTACAGGGTAATCTACTACTAGAAGGAAGCAGATGTTCAATGATAACTGGTTTATAATAGTTTGCTAGTCAGGGTAATTATCCAGATAATTATTCGTTTAACCTAATAAGGAGTTCCGGCCAAAGTATAAATTTCAGAGGTTATATTAGTTAATGAGCACAAAGATTTTGTTTCTCACTGAAATCTGTCATTCTACCGAGTTGATTATGTATAATCAGTATAACAGTATGTAATTTACAATAAGTTACAATATCAAAATTAATATCCAGCTATTTTCTAGCAATGAAGTCACGGTCAGTCTAATGGTGACTGTACAATACTATTACATTTGTATGCGTGTGAATCTTATTTAATAATTATATTATTATGTTTAAAATAAGACAAACAAACAGTGATCGCTTACGATTTTTCAGGATCCATTTTCTCTTGTTTGACAAAAACGTGTATGATCAGAAAATGTTTCCAACATCGCCAAAAGTTTATAATAGGGCCATGACATGATTGATATTTATCAACTAATTGACTTGGAAGAGTCTTTAAAAACAATGGATTACCCTGATCTAGGACAATTAAATTCTGCAGCATTAAACCTAAATATGGTATTAATGGTGGACTGGCTGCTTCTAAGTCACGACGATATTTTGAAAAGTAAGGCGGTTGCATGTACGGCGTAACCCGACTAAGACGCTATGACACAAAAATACATACACAAAAAGGACAGAAACGTGATAATTAAATATGTATATATACAGAGTATGTGCATTTTGTACAAAGGTGGGTAATGATAAAAATGTATTAACTATTGAGAGGAGTAATGTGAAGAAATTTGTGTAATTTCTTTGATAGAGAAGGAATTATAATATAAAGCCACCGATTACAACGGGGTGGCCTCCAAATGCCCTGGTACGGGCCAAGAGTGGGGAGAGTCAACTCTCCCTCTCGAAACGCTCTCATATGGCCACGTGCATACAAGCACTGTCAGGGAAGTCCTACTCACTGCCTTCTCGTGGCTGGGGTGTTGTTTTCAAAATGGAGGGGATGGAAGGCGAATGTCTGGCGCTTTAACCGGGTTGGTGGACAAGGAGGGCACATCTAGGGGGGTTGGAAAACCTTGGTTCCAAACCACCAGTGCACATGGGCCCCAGGATTCCGAGGGAACGAAAGTTTTATGAACCAATTGTTGGTAACTGGATACCACAGGACTGCATCTCCTTACGTTGCTCCACTGCCTTGTGGATAAGACCTCTAGGTCGAAGGTTCGGGGTGTGGCCCCCCTAAGAAAACCACCTACTCAGGTTTGGGCACCCGGGCAGTATCCTAGCCCTCACACAAATTGAATGATTTATGTGACGCACATCTACTCGGTGCCTTCTTGTACCTATGTTTATGTGTTTAAATAAAATAAAATAACCACGGTGTGCAATGCTGACTAGTGTTGGAGACGGTTGGGAGATAGTTAAGGGCGGCCAAACTAAAACTTGGCATCGGTTCATAAAGTCACAAATTTCTGATCTGAGCCATGGTGGTAGATGCAGACTACTTGGTTGATGTTCGTACGACCATTGTAACCAATGGTTGGAGACTCTGGGTGACATGGCTCAGAATTGATCACAATGGCGTAGGTGTATAAACACTGTTTTCCCTTAAACTGTGAGATTAAAATTGCTTTATATCTTTCTTTCTACCAACTAATTCTTTCTTTCTGTACTATATCCCTATACACAATCTTTCTTTTATATATTACTACCATCAAAGTAACTACTTCTATGGATTCGGTGTTGCGTTAATGAGGTATGGCAACTTGGATCGATGCATATATGTGCCTGGTCCTACGTTGTAGCTAACTGACTGACTATGACATAAAGAATTGCATTAATTGAAATGGTATCTTTCATAATAGACAAGGAAATTAGTTCAATGTAAAATTCAGTAACCCTGTTATGATGCTTTCCTTTAATAAAATTGTCAAACATAATTTATACCTCATCATGATCAATTTCTTTTCAACCAAATCACGTAATAGACAGTAAACAACGGAAATATATTTCAAGAATTATATATCACTTGAATTTAAAGTTTAGTGATTACTGAAAATATCGGTTGAGTGAATATATGGAACACAATAAGAGAGAGATAAAATCCTAATGATGAACAGATATAATATTATATTTGAGAAAATTTTATCATTGAAAATAAACGGTTCCAATGTTTTATCAACGAGTCTAAATCGAGGTTCTTCGAGGTAATAACGAACTCTCTATGCATCAAATGTCGCTCATTGAATCGACACCTAACTTTATTAAAAGTGTTCGGATAAATCTTCATACAAATTCTTATGAACTACAAAAATAATATTGAACATATAACATATAAAGAAGAAATTTATCAACAAGCTGACTTACACTGAGTGTTTTTCGAGAAAACAAAGCTTCTGGTACTAGGAGAAATGCACAAAGTAAAGACAGGTAGGAACTAAAATTTTGGAGTTTGTACAAGTGCTAGAAGATAGAAAAATTAAAAACCAAGGTTATGTTAATTTACAATATATATATGATGAATAATTTATGGTGTCAAATGTAAACGGCACTATAATTACAATTAGTAGATCGATCACTAATTTTTTATAGACACTATTTGTAATAAGGTACTGGGAACAATCAATAAAAGATTCTGGAGAGTGATAAATATTACACGCTACAAAAAACTATTTTATTGACAAGTGTTTAGTGTTGTCTGAGATTTTTAAAAACTGATTTTTAGGCAAAAATCAAAACTGAAAGCTATCATAAGGCTAAATAACAACTTACTTCCATAACATCCAATAAACGATTTGCAACCTTATCACGATCAGATGCACTTGTCAAGGATAAAATTTGATAAGTGGCCCAGTTAGAAAGCATTGTAAAATGATGTGCACAAGCGGCTACACCAGGTGCTTTACCTTGCTCTAGTTTTGAAATGTCAAGCAGTTCAAAAACCTGAAAATTAAAGGAAACAGAGAGTCGAGCTTGAATTTTCGCCGAATAATAATATTGTGTTCATACTACTAAAAACTAACCGACTGTTAGAAAGAAATCGAATCTGATGTTGTAGATCATCATCTAGTTAATCCTAATAGTGGATTAATGTCATACTTTGTTCTAAACATAAACCCATGTAACCATATTTGTACATCTCAATCGTAGTACACAAGCGTTGTGCATGTGTAACAGTTAAAACCACAGAACAATGGAGTGCCCACACTTAGTAAAAACTGTATGGTTAGAAAGAGTAAATCATAAATTTATAACTAAGAGTTCTTATGATAATGAATCTCCGCATACTTCAGACCAATTATCATTTATCATCATGCAAAAAGTTGAAGCTAGCACTGACTGTTGGTAACTTTTATATTAAAAAATCTTTGAATTAACACTAATATTAATCTTAAAAAATACTACTACTACTACTACTAATAGTAGTAACTATCGTAAGTCTTCTGACATCCAAAGAACTAAAAAATAACAATACACAGACCATTATTTGTAATACGATAATGAATCAAATAACCTTCATTTTATCAAAATCAAATTAAAACAAATAAAAACACGAAATAAACAAAAAAATATGGTTCTTACATTAATTTTATAATAATTTAAACATTCTAAATAGGTAAGTTGTTCAGCTAAAGATTTTGCAGGGAAATTCAATAGGCCAAGACTACTTTTTGATGTACTCAACAAGATTCTTTTAGTTGGAAGTGAATTTATCGCAGAAGAAGGATTGACATAATCATTTTCTGTCGATTCAATCACTGAATAACGATCAACATTTTCCAAAGCATGTGATCGTCTAGATTTAGTCTTTGGTAATGTAATAAATCCCACATTTTCATTATATTCAGCGCATTGATCTGTTTCATTAATTCTATTTAACATGGATTGATCGGATGATACATCGCCTAGTGATGAGGTTCGACCACTATTTGATAGAAATGAATCAGATTTACGCATATTATTATTGATTAACTCAGTGTTTATTGAGTTAGAATGAATTTGTAAGTTTTCCTGTGACTGACGAAAAATTGTAATGTGTAAAATTCGACTGAGTGATTTATATTCGTCTTGTGAAAGAGTTTCTTCGAAATTTTGAAGAATTTCTAGCAATTTATCATTTAAATCATGTCTTAATCGTGTAACCTAGTTTTGAAATGAGACAAAACCAAGCAAACAATTTAACTAAGACCAAACTTAAAAGGGAATGAAATATGGATAAAATATTCAATAATTTCCATTTAATATACTATGAAATTGTAATCACGAGAGAAGTGATTCAGAAAAAACAAAGAAAAAGGTTTATACAATTGATTGCCTTCATAAATCTAAACAAAGTAAGAACGATAATATTTTCAGAATACGATCAATTCATTGTATTTAACTGCTTTACTTTCAACTACATACAGAGTTATATGTTTTCTTATTTCCATTTAATGGAATAATATTTAAAAGTGTAATATGACACACTTTAAGAGTTGAAGTTTTGAAAGAGGTTTTTCTTGTAATTATTTGAGATGAATCACTTGGAGTATGCCTATCACTCATGTATCAGCAGGCCAAATTACGCAAATCTAATCTACAAATCTACAAATTTTCTCTGCAACGAACTGGACCAACGGTCAGTTAACAAACTGGGATCGAATATTGATGCAGAATAGTATGAATTCATAATATTTTTTCTTGCTTTATTTAAATTCATAAAGAGAAATAATTGCATGAAACTGGGATCGATTTGTAAAAAACTGGTCTTATAAACTTGATTTTACTGAAGTAATACGTCATATTAATACATCGAACAAGCTAATAGTTTTATATGGCATATCGTTAACTTTAACCATTATCTCTTTGAAAGAAACAACTGACATCACTAGCAAATACTCATAAAGTATATGCACATCATACACACAGATCACAGTTATTAAGGATATAAACTAAGGACGTTCAGTTCCAATGTAATAATAAATTATGCTATCAAGCAGATGAAGTCGCAATGGGAAATTCTTTGATTAAAACCTTGACGATATATTTCTTGGAAATTTGGAAATAAAATATTACATACTGTTATCAACGAAATTACACTTTATGTACGGAATACCGATGATATTTTAGTTTTACTTAGCGGCGTAAGTTATCCAAACAAGATACTGGAATCTTTCAATACAGTGAATATCAACATTAAATTCACACTGGAAAATTAATGAAAAGATGGCTTCCATATCATTGACTTCAGTATGTTGCCTTGAATTGCATATATTACTTAAAATGTGCATGCAACTCCAAGTGCTTAGGTAATCTACTCCGCGTGAAGCCCTTTTTGGGATACAGCCAATCTCAAGCCCGGATAAAGGAGGAGGGTGGGCGTGGGGTTAGCGACTCCATCCCGCAGAAAACTAATTCGCTAAAAAAACAATTCACGTTTTCATGAGCATATTCCAAAAATCTACGCCTTCGAGGAGATAATTGCCTACATAGTTTAGTAGCATGTCATCTACTAGACAAGGGGCACAAATTGGATGTAATGAATTGATTCAAATTTTTCAATTAAACGTCCAATTCCACATTATTGAATTTAGTAGAAGCCATGGCAATTGGGTTTCAACTTAACTTTTATACCTAAAAAAATAAGTAGTTAACCTTCAACTGCTTTGGTAATATTTTAACCTATCTCTTTTGTGTTAAATATGATCACAACCTAGTGTGGAGGATTCACGCATCATCTTTTTATTTCTAAACTTACATTTGTGTTAGATTGTAATAAAATTAACTCAATATTCTAGGACTATTACCTTAAATAATTATAAGAAGAACCCGTTTTAAAACTCTTAACTTCTATCGCATTACACACAAATGATATGTATTCTTTGGTACAGTAGCAATGGTATGATGATTTAGACGTAGATACTAAAATACCACGGTCAGATATAATTGTAAGTCATCAGTTATTATGAAGAGATAATTGAGATAATTTGATGACCAGATATATGCATGACACAGGCAAATTAATGTAACATGACTTTAAAAGATACAAAATATGAGGGGGATGAAATTTAGAAATTAAAATACTATAAACTTAGTTTATTCATAGAAAGTGTGATCAGGTTACGAATACTTAGATTTCGGGAAAACTTCGAGCATCCCGTAAATAATCACTACAAAAAACACTTACAATAAGATTATACAGCTATAAATCAGTGTAATATCAAACTAATAATCAAAAACGAAATCTTACCACAGTCACTAAAATTGACACAGTAGACGTACACACTTTAGATCTGGTCTCATGAGATAAATTTGTCAAATGTGATAAATAACGTGGAGGATGGCTAAAGTAATGATAACGCGTTATCAAACGATTCACTAATTCATCAGATGTCATAAATGAACGATACATAAAAAGAAATGTTTCGAAAAATAAATAATCTGTGATAAAAGAAAAAAGAAAAGAACGGACAAACAAACAATAAAGGAACGACAATGTAAAAACCTCATTTTTTTGTTGAAAACAAAATACAGAAACACTGATTTTGAAAATAATATCCCTGATAGTGATTAGTAGGAAAATGTAAAGCCTGTGTTTTTTTCATGTGCTAAAATTATTAGTCAAATGTACCTGGATCTCAGTATTGATGTTCACAATGATACTAGACGAGCAAAGTATCTACCGTACTAAACAGTTGACACTAACAACAAGAAAAATACGAACACTACGGTTAGTAGTTTATTGGGATATTTTTTACAGCTATTGGAGACTTGGTACAATGCTAAATTCATATCATCGAAATATTATGTCATGCGTTTTATTTATTGACATTTGTTACGGTAATGGAGAAATGACATTCGTTATGAAAGTAAACTAAACTGACAGGATATATATTACGATTACACTATAGTCAGTCTTCCGAAGACAATCGTCAATGGATTTGCAACTGATACTAATCAAAAATAAATTCCATATAACTACTTTTTTATATATAGATCAGAGATAAAGATATATTGTTTCCAAAGTTAGGTTGAACCATAATCTGAAACAACCCGAAATTATCATTAACTCTTTGGAAATAAGAGAACATTAAATGACTCCTCGATCTATTTTGAGATTACTTTAAATTGTAAACGTACGATTCATTCAAGGATCAAAATTGCGGTTTTGAAGTCTCGCAACAAGCATAATAACTTTAGATTACTGACTCAATTTTAATGATCTATCTTATAAATTGAAAATGAAATCACTACTCTAGGGGTCAAATAAAAATAACTTTGGAAACAATGAAAAACAAACAAACACACAAATTAACTTACATGATGGTGACATACGGCCATATGATGTTATATATACTATTAAAGCATCAATACATCCAGCATGTACAGAAATATCATTTAGCTAAGAAAATAAAATATATAAAGAACAAATATTTGGACATTTTAAAAATGAAATTTACTAAATGAAATGAAGATACAGTAAAAGCAGCAAATATAAGAATGTTTAAATGAATAACTGTTGGAGAAATAAGATACCGACATTAAAAAAAGTCTTTATGTGATTGGGTTAGAGTTATACTTTATATTTGGAGACTAGTAAAAACATTCAGCTAGCCTTCGAAACAGAAATAGATGTAGAAGGATAGAGAGCTTGTTATTAAACGGTTAAAAGTTTATCGTCTCAACCATTAGGAGTTTAGTGGGACCCTTTATTTTTTCGTCATTTAGATCGGACGATGTTTGTTGACGGGCTCTCTGCTTTAGTGGCCCGAGATCTGGCTTCAAGTAGATCTTATGAATGATTGTTGTCGAAATGTATATGTCGCCTATTCTCGTACATAATCATCGACTTAAATCGAGTTAGTCAATAACGGAATTAAATAGTTCAAATAACGAGAATGGACTTTTGAATACATATTTTTTATAAGAAGCAAAACGGCACGCAGTGAAGATGGCGGGTAAGCGAATTCCCTTTAGTAAAGCGTTAATCAATATTTATAGTTACACAAAAATAAGTTACAGACATGTGATGAATAGGATAAGAAATGTACACACACATACACTCATACAAAAACAGTCAAGGTTGATAAGCGAATAATTAACAAATTCAAAATATGACTGAAGTAGAATTGTGATGCGTGCTACTTATATTGATATAAGTAGTATATAACGCGAGCCAGGAATGTAATATCTGGCAGCAGAAGATGGGGAAGATCAAGAAAGGAAGAACGGTAATAAAAACCAATTAGTATGGAAATGTAAGAACAACGAAGTTCGAGACAATTATTGGACATTTTGCAAATTAAGTATTATAGTATGGTTTTTCTATTTTACCAATTAACTTTGTAATTTTGTGCTAAATATAATTCGATTGTCCCCGCCCATGTTCTGTTCACTACAGAATGAGTAGATTTGCCTGTCCGAAAGCTAGAATAAGTTATATGGGCTTAACATAATAACTGACACTACAGGAGAATGTTTTTTGTAGTGAAATTTTACGAAATAATTATCAACATGACTAATCAGGATTAATTCATATGCAAAATTTTTACTAAGGTTTTTTTTATTCAATCACTATGATATTATGTAATTAACGTTTAGTGAATGATAAAAATGTAATGAGCTAATTTCAAAAGATAGAAATAAGTTATGTCAGCTATTTCTTACATGTATGAGTGATCTATTAAATAAATTACATTGAAATAATAAACTAATCGCTTCACTATAGTTAAAAAGAAAAAATAAATCTTCATAAAACTTTACATTTCTTTTTAGTAAACTACAAAAATAAATCAATATAATGAAGGATGACTTTTCAGTTAGTGAACAATCGATTCAATCTTTTTCTTAGTTATCAAAGTTTAGATTATCAGCTAGTTAATGTCCTAAAGATATTATGGTCAACATTAATGGACTAACTTATTAGAGAGAATGAAAATGAAAGAAAAAAGTGTAATCGTAAGTCGCATCAACAATTTTAAGCGAATGAAATAAGTAAAAAAAAAGTTTTTTTTAAAAAAAACACAATGCACTTTTAACGTCAATAAAAGAGAAATATAAATAAGTTATATTCTTTAAAACAACGAGGGATAATTGGAATTTGGAAGAAAGATGGATTTAATCATGAAAATGTAGTCAGTAACCATTATGATGAATACTTTGAAGCATGATAAAAACAACTGGTTAGTTTCAATGGGAGTAATTATTTAATTGTTTTCAGAAATATTTTGTTAGAATACATACACTTATGGGTTAATTCTAAAGGTTAAGAAGATGTGATCCAATGTTCAGTTGAATCAGCCCGCGAGTTTCGACTCCAGGACCTATCAGTCTTGCGCTAGGCGTTTAACCAACTAGACCACTGAGTCGGCATCCAAAGGTGTTAATGTCTAACCAATCCACGAAGTTGCGCCACCGTACACCATTGTCTTTAGTGAGTTGATATCTCACAACAGACTTGGTTGAATTCCACTGAGGAGTCCCATACTAGGATAAAAAAGGCTGTCCAGTGCTTCCAGGTTTTCCATGGTGGTCTAGCTTCAATTGACTCATGATTTCAATCAATGAAATTTCTAAAATCTCCACAAAACCTCTTGTGATAATAACTTATTCATTATTGATGAAACAAAGGTACGAATATTCTCAATAGTTATTTGAACATCATTTGAATAATTATTAATATCTAAGAGATATCATTTATATTATTATTTATTCAAGAGAAAGAAAACTTCTCATTCAGTTCCTTTATGTATATAGTGAATAATAATAATAAATATAGTTATGATAATAATAATAATAATGAACTATTTGATACTTACAGAATTTCGATCACCCCATACTAAATAATCGTTTGCTTTTAAAAGACTTAGGATAGGTAGTATATTAGTAGCTTCCACGATAGGTAGAGTTGTGTAAATTTCTCTTTCTTGAGTTACTGTAGAGATATGGTTATCACGTATTTCTTCATCATCTGTTTCGTCACTGGTAATACTATAAGACGTCGAAAGTAAATATTAACAGTCGAAAAGAAAAATTTTAAAACAATTAAAACCAGTTTTGAACAATAAATTGTGTACCAATATAGAAAAATTAACTACAATTCTGATAGATAGTTAATTCTCAATTACTCGATTGTATAACAGTCTAGAATACTCATTTTATAATTAAATTAATGGATCATTATTTCTAGTTAGTCTAATATAGTGAAAAAACTTCCGGTCAGATAAGCTCAATAAGTTTAAGAATAATTACAAAAATAATTACATACATACTAATTCAAATTATTTTGTGAACATTTCAGCTTTTCATTAAACTCAGTCCATGTTAGCTTGTATTTATTAAATCTAAAATGATACTTTACTGATTATAGCAATAAGGATTATTTTACTAAATATATTTTCGAACCATCACAAGAGTATGGTGGGACTATAAAATTAGAAATATTTAGATTATAGTTATAGCATTATATGAGAAAAAAATCTACAGAGTTATTTATACAACCCAATTGTTGATAAGATTGTATAGGATATTTAAATCAATACTTAATGATGAACTAAGTTTGATTAACGGTTGGATCTTGAAATTTTGACATATAATTCATTGCAATATTTAGTATTCTAACTACAAATTAGTTAATTTATTAAAACCAAGTTAGTCAGTTAGTCAACAACAACGTAGGACGTCGTACGTACGTACGTACATCAGTTCAAGTTGTCATACCACATTAGTACACAGATACAATTCTCGATTCAAATCCCATAGTGGAAGAGGTGGTAAAAGTATAGGCAGTAATCGGAAAGGTTAGGGTTTGAAGATGTTATTCAAGGAGTATAATCCAATGAAATAAATTTGTGAAGAGAAAAAGGGACATGAAGAATTCAGAAGATTAGAATATGGGAGAACACAAAGAGTGGATACACCCGCACCGTTGCAAACGATTTTGAGCCATATCATTCAAGGTCTCTAACCATCAGTTGCTATCGTCTCACGGATCTCAACTAGGTAGTCTACACCTACTAACATAGCTCAGTTCACTTGCCATTGACTTTATGGATTTGTGCCATGTTTTGGTCTGGCCACCTCTAGCTTTCTTCCAACTTACTCTTACACCATAAAACCTCGCTCGTTGGGGCAGTCGGTGGTCGAATTCTAGTAACCAACGGACATCCTCTACTCTTACCGGCCATGTTACACTGCCATAAAGTAGGATGGAACGAACTGCTGCGCAGTAAAAACGTCCTTTGGTTGATAGACGGATATCTCACCTACGCCATAAATGATGCAAGTTGGCAAAAGCTAGTCGAGCCTTCTGTATCCGTGCTGAGATTTCGTCACACATCAAACCACAAGGGTTGGTGAGACTCCCAAGATAAGTAAAGCTGTCGACACGCTCAGCTACTTCACTTCCTATCAATTAAAACAAAAGGTATAAATGATAAGAAAAAATACTGTAACTTACATGATTTTTGGTTGGTGACGGTTAAACTCTGATGAATCCTCTTTTAATTGTTGTGATACATCTGTTTCTTCAGTTAAAGATGATGTTACTGTTTGAAGAAAATATAGAATTTTATCAATTAATAAAACTTACTTTCGTTGGATGATGAAGTAAGTGAATTACAAGATATTTTATCTGAAAATTCATCGTCTGATAATATTTCAGGTAATTTCATTTCAGCATTACGACTAGCCTAAATAATATTCAGTAAACAAAGAAGAGAAATATTTTAGTTACAAGCAAACAGTTCTGCTTGATTATTGGTAAATTACGTAATCGACCTGAGACACATGGATTTTCTCCGTGCGTGTGAACATATATGTATATACTTCACTTAGATCACAAACACGTGAATATAGTGAACAATATACAGGGTAAACTGTGTGCACATAAGATAATACAAGCTTATGTTAAATGAATACATGTATACACGAATCACTATGACCAGGTTACATAAAAAGGACTGACCACATGTTTATAACTACAATAATGATCAGCAACGTAAGTTGATGAATTAATATAATTTGAACTTTTAGTGTCAAATGTCAAACTTTGTGTCAATCACAATAAATAAGCCGGTATATAAAATTTTCAAGCTGAAATAACAGTAATGGCATAATAGTGGACAGCAGGAAATCAACGAAATGTCGAAATAAACAATTTGTTTGTTTCCTAATTAAAATGAAACAAAAAAAATAGACGCACATCTTGACTAGAAGTAAACAAAGCTACTTAAAAATACTGAAAATTGAACTTTGATCGAACGGTAACAAAGAAACTGAATATTATGTGGCTTATTAAGATGAAAAAACTATATATTTAACTGTCAAGTTTCAACTACAAACTCTTTTTCACTAGATTTAATTTGCCCCCAAATGCCCTGGTACGTCCGAGAGTGGTGGGCGTCAACTCTTCCTCTCAAAATGCTCTCACATGGCCACGCGTATATAGCCTCTGCCAAGGAAGTCCTACTCACTGCCTTCTCATGGCGGGGGTGTTCTTTACGAAACTGAGAGGACGCAAAGCGAATGTCCAGCGATTTATCCGGGTTGGTGGACATGGAGAGTCCACCTAGGGGAGTTGGAAAACCCTGATTCCAAACCAATGGTGCACATGAGCTCCAGTATTCTGAAGGAACAAATGGTGTATGAACCAATTGTTGGTCACCGGCTTCCATGGGACTGCATCTCTTTACGTTGCTCCACTGCCTTGTGGATCAGACCTTCAGGTCAAAGGCTCCGAGTCTGGCCCCCTAAGAAAACCACCTGCTTCGGTTTGGGCACCTGGGCAGTATCACAGCCCTCACACATATCAAATGAGATTTGTGTGGCGCATATGTATTTGGTGCCTCCTTGTACCAATATCTATGTGGTAAAATAAATAAATAAATAAGATCTAATTTAAGTTGTTTTTGAGTAATGTTTATTTTAGTTGCACAATCTTTCCAACTATCAGACAGATTGATTCCTTACAGCACTTTTTAACTATCTGCAAAAAACACTTTAAAATAAACTAAGGATAATGATGGTAGAAGAAAAATGATGAAAATGCATTTCGCTTATGATTTAATCATCTGATAAACGTATGGGATTCCATTAAATAATTATCATACATTACATCATCACGTTATTACGCATTACGCAACTTTTATACTCAAATAAGAACAAGTTGAAAAAAAACATCACTATAACTAGTATAAAATAACTATTCGTAGAGTTCGTACCAAATTTGTAAAAGCAAACCGAACTAGCTGCTATCATTATTTGGTCTGGTGGAATGAGTACTTAAGAAGTTGTTACATAACGTAATATTTTAAACCCTTAATTAAAATGTTGAATTTTTCTTTCACGTTCACGAATATTTCCACTGATCAATCATTTTTATATATAACATTAAGTAATATATGATATTAATTTTGTTTTTTGGAATCTATCGACATCCCCTTCAATTTTCCCTTCCAGAATGTTAATGCAGTTATGGTGTATACAGTCGACCATTTGAATGACTCTTGTGATTCTTACATATTCATTCGTTTCTACTAATCTACCTTGATTAGGAATTTCTGTAAATGAGATAATATAACATGTATACATTTGTTTTTTTCTTTTTTTGTTAATTCATACTATTGTTTGTTGGTTGTAAGAAGCTGAGGGGAATTGATGATAGAAATGAATCTACTATGAATAGTGTTCGAGCTTTACTGAAATCAACAAAAGCCTGCAGGAACCGTATAAAACTAAACAAAGAGATAACTATTATATTTGTTATTATATTTAATAACAATTCAAAATATCAAGTCGTATTTTCAACATTCCATGACTATCGCACGCAACCTAGTTGATTTATCCAAATTTTAGAACAGTTTATTGAAATTAGACAGAGAAAGTTGATTTCATTCTATGGTTAACAAAGAATACATAAATACCTATAAAGAAAACAGTTTTATACTTAGGAAAAATGCTATGAATAATTTTTCTTATTGTATATTCTTTATCAGAAATAAGACAGAATTCCATTAGAATTCATGCACGTAAACCCAAATACAATTGCTTAACATCTAATGCAAGATTTAAGAACGTTTATTTTCAAAGCTGAACATAGAATTGAACGATAATTTACTGTCTTAGATTTGAAACGCATTCATGAGAATTTTATTCTATCATCGTTCTTTGTGTAAATGAAATGAATCAATCATAGAGATGGGCTGATTTGTCCCAGAAAAAGTTTATTTCTTGAACATTTTTAAAGTGAATAGAATGTTAAAGGAAGATGAAGATCGTGGAGATATAAGAGTATTTTAAAAATTTATTCTGGATTTTTCAGCTCGGAATTATGTATTTCGTGGTGTTATGTTTTTTGAACTGCAGAGTTTAATTGAGAAGCGTTTAATGTTGTTTTAAGTAACATCATCTGCGCCTACATACATTTGTTTTATCCAGAATGAGAATGAAGTCCTGTTAATTAAACCATTCCAGTTACAAAACGAAAAATCAGAAAATATTTATTTCTTGAGTTTCACTGTACTACTGAGAAAAATTGCTTTAATTCCAGTTTGCATATCAAGAAGTATGTTTTTCACTTATCAAGTTAACAAGTATGTAATGTGAATAATAATTGAAAATCAACCCACCAAAACACAATGTACCAACAACTTCAATATTTATGATACGAATAGTTCGCTATTTTAAGGTATATACAAACATTAAATGCTTTACAAAAACTATCATATGAATTTTTTTTTAAAAACATTACTCACAATCGACCTAGTGCTTAATGTGCAAATTGTAGCCATATTCCACTTTCAAACTGCATACACAATAAGTCAGTTTACGTAAAACACGAGTAACTAAGTAACTAAACTTCTAGCCATTGAGATACATTTACAAAAAAATACATTCTGCCTATTTTGGTTCTATATTAGCAATGTAGTATCATTAGTGCTTACATGAAAGTCTAACATTGGGTCAGGTACATGAACGTGTACTTAGTTAACCAGTTGTATCACCAACATGTACAACAATTTAGTGAATTATTTACATTATATAAAGCAGAATTCAAACAGACTCTCTATTGTGAACATTTGATAAATAAACAGCGGATAGGTAATACGGCTTTGAACCCTATATATGTAACTCGAAATAGTGAATTTAAGATATTAATTAAGCTACATTTGAATAGATATTTCTCATGTACCAACAAAAGTATTGAAAACGAAATACTGACTGCATACTTGGTAAACAATTAAAGATTTGATTAATCAAATACTTTCTGTTTACGTCATTTATTTAACTTGAAACTATAAATGTTCAAACTGACTACGAACTAGCTTAATTTTACACTAATAAAGATGTTCATTCAGAGTTTTCCCAAAACTCTAAAGTAATTTAATAAGACTTTCTAATCAAAATGAATGATGTTGGAAATTATCCTTATTCTTGAGCAGTGCAAATTTAAGGAGTTACAATTCAATGACTTCTATGATGACTAATAAATATACATATATATAGTTTAATCCAATATTTTTCCTTACTTACCGAAAAACAGATTATTGGTACGATAATCATTAACAACATAAAATGTTATCAATCGAAATAATACTGTAGTGCTCCAGTTGCATATTGATATGTTGTTCAGTAATCCATAGTTTATGCATATCACACGTATATATATATATATATATATATATATATATATATATATATATACGCTTGTCAGTCAGTAAATCAGATGAATCATAGTAAATAACTGAATAAACAATATTTCAATCATTATAATCAGTCGCTTGTTAAATATAACAAACTGAAAAGATACGGTTGTGTAAGTTCGCATTCACTCATGATTTTAGTACTGACAAGCAATAAAGATAGATAGAGAAACACCAGTACATATATACATATATAATATTTGTCATGCAATTATTGATCTACTGTTACATAACCATGTATTCAGTTTGAATAAATTTTCGGTGTGGATTAACACCAAACATCAATGAGAGAAGATAACATTTGTGAGCAGAAAAAGATTACAGAATTAACATGTTGTAATGCATCTGCAGATGGGAATGGCGACATAGAGGTGATTTTTAAAAGACAAATTAATGTACATGCATACAGATCGAGATTTTAATTATCTTTTTGTTAATTAGTAGGAGATTATATCACCAAGTAAGCATATGTTCATGCACATACACTGAATGAAATAAATAACCCTGTTTTTAGAAGTGTACACAAGAATATCCATAAGATTTATCATAACCATATTTATCATTGATATCGAGTACTTTATTGATACTATGTTACAAATGGAATTTAGAAAATCTAACAAGTCACCCTTATACACATCTACACATGAAAGCTTTGCTTCACACACATAATCATCTATGTATGCTAAAGCTAAATTTTTTCAATGAAAATTTCATCCAGTCCGTTACTTTTAAATGTATGTTAACTGGTAAATATTATGTATTCTACGAAGACATACGATATGACAAACATATCAATTCCATCATTAAACAAGTCAGGGAAAATCAAACACTTCTATGAAAAAAAACCCACTGAATTTTATTAGCCACACTCAACGAATGAGATGTCAACATTAGGAGTTTCAAATGAAAGAGGAAATATCAAAACTAAATTAAGTATGAAATTAAAGAATAACATGATTTTTTAAATCACGATTTGAATCGGTCATTAATAAGCAACGTAGAATCTGTCATATATGTTTATAGGTTCAAGTTGTCATACTATATCAGTACAGCAGTGTAAATTTTAATAGCGAAAACACTTAAACGAGTCTCGTGAGAATAATTGCAAAATATGACTGAGAAATTTATATTCTGAAAATTATTTTAACTCCAGACAAACAATATAGTCCAAAATATCTCCGTCAAAAAGAAGTATGAACATCATAGAAAAGGATGCCACAAGCTGAACCGAGATACTTAAGATTTACTTTTGTAGTGAAAACACTGATGACTATGGATTGATTTACGTTACATAGGATCACTACTTCTACAAGAGTTATCCCATGGTTTCATAGAAAAATACTTAAAGGATAGTAGTGATCCGATGAATATGACATCCTGATATCAGATGACCTCAAATATCCTTTTTCATATATTCTAATTAATACAACACAATCATTTTTTGTTGAAGTAATATGTGGTGTATGCTACTTATGTCTGTCTACATACGTAGTATGTAACACCAATCAAAGGTAGGATAGCTGGCAGCACAAGGCTAAGAAGATCGAACTGAAGAAAATAGAAAGGGAAATAGAAAATAGTTATGAACAGAAAGAATCAGATAGAATGTAAAGGACAGTTGATGGAAGATTTGCAAATGAAGCGTTTGATGTATGGTTCTCATATTTTACCAAGACATTCTGTAATTTTGTATGAAATAATGAATCGGTTATCTTCCACCTGAGTTCTCGTTCATTACAAATATTCTGATCCTATTATAGTTTACAATATTCATCTACTTATTTAGCCATTAGGCTATGCTCCTTACCTATGGATCACTGAAAACGAATGAGTCTAGTAAACTTGAATGTCCGTAATCTTGTTGTTTTACCAAAACGATTAAAAGACTACTATTAGATTAAACGCACAATATACTTTGGTGAAAGGAATAAGCTTCAGAAGAGTCTTTTGATGTTTCGACTAAAAATTAGGACCATAAATACATGTCAGAGACCCCTCGGTATGTGATTTCAATTGACCATAACTTTTCAAGAGTAATCAGGTAAACGTTATAATTCCCTACACAGCTTTTAGTCAGTGAATCATACGCAATGTAGGACGTGGTACGTATATGCATCGGTTTAGGTGGCAACATCACATTTATATAACAATATGTCAGAGCAGTGTAAGACGTACCGGAATTATTAGTAGAAGAAAAGATTAATCACGGGAAATCTTATTCGAGAAAAAAAGTAGTTTTGAAATGGAACATATTTGAGAAGCAGTCTTTTCGTTAGAAAACAATTTCAAACGACATTTCAACTGGCAAAGATATATTCTCCTATTTCATTAAATTACAATTTTTTAGAAATATGAAATCTAGTGACAACTTTTTAAGTTCAAATTTCGAAAATAAAATATGTATTTTATGGTAACACGTTTGATTCACTTGTATGATGTAGTTGTATGTTACAACCACAATGTCAATGGAATAGATTGATAAAGGTTAAAAGGTTTGTTTTTGCAAAGAGAGGGGGCTTGTGAAATTATGTGAAAAGACGGTGTAAGATTCGGAATTAAATATGAAGAACGAAACACTACAATGAAACATCTATCTGAACTACAAACCCTCTCTACCGTCATTTACATATATGAACCGAATGTTTTTTTAGTGTTATGCTTATATCAATAGATTGAGTTAAACAACTGGAACAAAACTTAGAATCATATTTTACTCCCTGAATTTTCAATGGTTCAGCAGTTAGTATCAATTTGCGATGAAAATTTACTTTAGATTTAATGAACGTTTACAAAACAACTCAATAAAATATAGTCAACTGAAGAAAGTAACTATTATTGGCTATTAAAATCATGAACCGATCAATGTTAGGCTGCCATTGGAAACTTGGATGCATTGAAGGGCCGTTTCGTTCTGGTGTGGAGCCCCTTAGCAGCGCGCAGCCACGATCCCACACACGGAACCCGAACCCAGGACCTTTGGTCTGGCGCTCGAACACATACAGTCTAGACAACTGAACCGGTATACAATGGTGTTAATGTCTAAATTCAAGCAATCCATGATTGATCGGTACATCATCTCAATTAAAACTCAACAATCCTCACAAACCTATACTGATATTGTTGATTACTTCAGAGTTACAGGAAATTTTAATATACATTCCAACCTACGGTACACAAATGACAATTTATTCAGTAACATGTTTATAGTAACATTGAGAAGAAAAGGTGAAAAACCATTTATACACGAAGTCCAGAATTTTCTTTTAAGTTAACTTTCTAAATGTATTTTAAGATACTAGTTAATGAAATTATTTTATTAAGTAGTCAATAATGATTTTCGTAAAAATACATTCATATGTTATTCAATAAATAAATTTCATTGTTATAAACATTGTAAAGAATTGTGAGCGTAAACTGCAAAAAAAAATCATAATGAGCATGAAATCAAAAAATTATTAGACAAACCAAATATTTACTATATAGGGAAAAAAAGACGATTAAGATTTACATTTAAGTGTATGTTTGTACTGTAGTGCATGCTACTTATACTGGCAGATAAAAGTAGAATGTAGCAGTAATTGGAATGCCTGGCAACAGAAAATTGAATTGAAGAGAATAGAAAGGAAAACAAAAAGCAATTGTAATAATAACAGAATTGAAAGAATCATGAAGCAAGTAAAGATCAACTGAAGGAAGATGTGAAAATAATGTATTTAATGTATGGTTTTTATATTTTACGAAAACATACTGTAATCTTGCATTCAACAATAAATTGGTTTTCTCTACCGAATTATCGTTCAGTATACTACTTTTACTTTTCCAGTTACAAACGTGTTTTATACATAGTTATTATTCAAAACTGGATTTAAGCAAATAGTAATTAGATGAAATGAATTGTAAGATGTCTATCAATAATGATGAACTTGTACATAAAACAAAAAATGGATAGAAAACAGTTTACATTTTAATTTGATACGATACATGAAACACTCGATGATACTTTTTATTACAGCCAAATAAATTAGGCGCAATAAAAATAGTTGTGTCATTGATTGAAAAGAGAAGACAAACGCGATAATGTGGAAACAATTGTAAGGCCAATTAAAAATATATACAATAAAATTTATTACCTATATACTAAATAAATGAATCAGATTGTGAGAAAACTAATAATTGAAACGGTCAGTTAATATTTTGTTGAGAACAGTAAGAAAGGCGATGTTAGAGAAAACTAAATAACAACAATGTACCCCTGAATTGAGTTCTTTTAGTCATATCGAAGAAATCTTTAATAGTTTGAGAAAATGAACAGCATTGTTCTACCTCCAGTATTAGAGGATTGAGTAAAAATAGTAGGATGGAAATACAAGACTCAACCACTGGTAACTATAAGCCAAAATATGTATAAAGTTTTTGATTACTATTCCTTTCTCTGAGACTTTAATATGTGATTTATAGCAAACGTAAGCTAAAATCTGCTTCCTAATGCAGAGTTTCGCTGGGTCGATGTACTGCGAAAAGGATATTATCCTGAATAATTCGACTAACAGTTTATATAATCAACTTTAAAAATTCATTTTTAAATTGTCGCTACTGAAAAGTTGTAAGTAGTAAAAACAAGCACGAAAAATAATGACGACACAACTTTGTGACTTACTTAAAATTAAAGATAACCTGATAGTTTGTTTACTAAATGTATTATGTAAAAGATTGTTTAATGAATAACACCTCCTATGTCTTTTAAATACCTGGTAACAATACAAAACATGATTTAAATACCTTGGAGTTAACCACATTTTTTTAACGAAGTAATGAGTCATTTATACTACAGATGTTTACTGTTTATTTTGATTAACAGGAAATACTTTATCAATCTTTTTCTATTCCATCCAACTGTGTGGCTTGTTTAGTCTCATACATACTGATGGTCACCTAAAGGTGAAATTATAATAGCATAATACAAATTCTTAATAAACAAAATACATTGAACCCACCTGAGCTTTTAATCCTTGAAGACCTCCAACCTGGAATAGAATATAAAAACAAAAATAATTACCAAAACGTTATTTGTAAAATGTGCTTATATAAACAACGAAATTGAAACAAAGCAATCAAGGTATCACAACAGGAGTATTCTGATTATTCACCATAAAAATAGTTGTTTCTATATGACTGACCACTTAATTACATTACTTATAAATATTAGTACTACTTTTCTATGAATTTAAATATTACAATCAAAAGTTTAGATTAAGCAGATTCTAAATGATTCAAGTTTTCGTTTTCAGTCTATTGTCTTCTTAGAAACTAAGTGATTCGAATTTATACTTTATAAGCTTAGTTTTCTGTGTATAATTGACAGGTTTATTTCATTAGTATACACTATTCAGTTAGACAGACAAGGCTTTTATTTTCTTAATATTCCCACAGAACACGAAGATTGGTTCGGTGAATAACTATCTGTAATCATCAAACATTCCATTATAACAGTTCTTTCGTAAAAAGTCCGCGGAAATGGGATAAAATGACTAGATGAAATGAAGCCTGAAAAAAATCAGCTTTTATTCAATGGCACATTCGGAAAAAGATATTGTGAAGGGTGATTTTTTCTACTTTAAAAGTAAATGCTTCTGGATTGAAAAATGAGTATATTGTAATAAAAATCTATGAAACTATTAGCTAAATCATAGTTTGGATATTTATGTTATCAGTTAAAATGAACGGAAGATTTTTCGGCTACAAGTTACAGAACAAAGTATTGATAAAAAGTTGTATTAATGCTATCTCGAGCAAAATATTCTATTCTTTTGAAAGGTATATTAAATGTATATTAAAAGAGATACCAGACGTAATTTTTACAATAAAGTTATTTCGTTTCTTATCACTATTTTAACAGCTTGAGGTTCATCTGACTTCACCAATGACTAATCGCTATTTCGAAAATGGTGAGTGCTCTGAGATCATAATCTTTAAAATCAATGACTGAAATTGGCAAGTAAGAGTAAGACCACAGGTCTAACTAGGAAACCAATAGTCACATCTTTCATTCTCACTTATAACTCTGAGTCCCCGGGTCAATTTACATTTGGAATAATGATTCCTCTTTAACGATTTTCAGTAACGAAGATGCTACCAATAAAATAACTTTGAATGTTTATTCCCACTATCATTTCATGCTATACATGACCTTATTGGTCTAAATTATCTCAGATCCAAAATTTCTGATCAACTTAACTATGAAGACAACGACATTTAAAAAGTGGGTATCAGTGTTTCTTCGGAAAGTTCATAGTTCGAATTTCTCGCAAAAGCGTTCTATACATTTGTGTGTGATCATTTTCTAAATATATCACCAATATTAGTATCTTTTTTATAATCATTGACTTTATTAAATTAAATTGTTAATTCATAAAGCAATGAGTACATAGTGTACGGATCCCAATTTCATTTACATTCTTTTCATTTATTTGAACTAATTAATATCAAATAAAATGAGATTAGTGGGTAACGCAGTTATAGATTAATGAGAAAAATAGTTACATAACTCACCATTCGAACTGTGCATGTATGTTGAATCCACGTTGATTTATGAATAAAATCACCATTGGTTGTAGGTTGTGTATAACTTTGTGTATAAGAAATAACTTTTTTACGTTCATGTGGTCCTGCTGCAGACTCTTCTTTTAACCATTGATCACGGAAAAAATCAATTAATCGATCAGATAAACGTCGTTCATCATCTGGATTGTCACAATCAGATGATCCGAATCGAAACATATAACTAATCACTGAAATGAGATTATATATAATGGAGGTAAACATTTGTCAATAAGCTTTGCAGAGTAATTCAAGCATACATAAAAAAACGCTAAAGATTTCATCAATGATGATATGTTTAATATACTACTGAAATCCAACCGAACTAAACATTTTAGCTACAGTTAAAGGAAATCCAATTCAAATCTATTCAGATCGTGATCTTTCAGTTAACATGGGAAAAATATTAAATTGGTTTTCAATAGAGACTAATTTTTAAGTCTTTTTATGATATCATCCAAATGAAGAAAAATGAAAAGTGTCCAACATATCAAATGAGAACAAACGAATACAGGCTGGTAATTACTATTTTTTCCTGCATGTTGTACATTATCTGTGATGTATGACAGATCTGATTCTATTTGTTGCTGTTACAATACAATCAGAGGGATACAGTAAGTTTTTTAATAGTAAAAAGCTAAACAAATATGGATAATGAAATTAACTGCGAGACTACGAATACTGATAGAGAATTAACCGGTTTAATAGTCATATTATGATAGCTAATAAATTTCTACATTTTAATTTATCAATAAAATCGGAAAACAAATAAACTACTCAAGTGTGTTTATGATATTTATTTATACAGTCAATCAGCATTTATTATGCAATCGCATTTCTGTACATTAATTATGAAATACTTTTCCCTAGTAAATAATAAATAATTATACTATTGTAACCTAATTATATTTTGATGTGACGAAACTACATATATGAACAGCATATTTCACTTAGTTGATGACATACTATTCTTGAAAAAACAATATCATATGTCTAAGTTGAGATGCGATAGTTAAATGGAGAACAATCTATCCTATGATTGAATAGATGAATGAAGAAATGAAGTTATTAAGTGATCTATACAATTATAGGTTTGTTGGCTTGGTATCCACTTATTATTAGTTTGGAAATTGTGAGGCAGTGTAGCAGACATACAGTTAGATTTTAACTGATTACAATCTTCTGGTTATATATATATATATATATATATATATATATATATATATATTACTGTAACATTTGTAGATTATAGTTTTTATTAATAAAATAGGATGTTTTGCAAACAAAATTTAAAACTATACAATAATCTCTTACATGGTTTCTCATTCGGTAAAGATGGTTTAGGTGGTCCAGCGTCAGCTGTGGTGAACTGGGATTCTTCTAAATCGTCATGATCCATACAATCGTTGCGTTCATTAGCAGCATTATTACAGGAAATATTCCATTTTCCGAATCGAGGTTTAAATTCAGGAGAGTTCGATGCATTGATATGATTTAAAGAAGAGTTACAAGAGTTATTTAATGATAATTTATCAATTGGTGGAATAACTTCATTATTACTATTGTTATTGACAGATTTACCATCTATCTGATCAGATCGGCTGAGTGTAACTCGATTAAGATCTGGTCCCATACCATCTGGAAGTGATGGTGCTAATATAATCTGACGGAAAAAATGACAAAAAATTGATCCATGTAACATTGAAAAATAGTCACGTTGAATTCTTATATAAATGATTATCGACTGAAAGTGAAATATATATATGTAGTGCACAAAGCTGTAAGAAGTAAATATTTGACATTACTTTAGAACAGCGGAAAAACAACGAATTATAACACTTCACAAAACAGATGGCTAACACTTGGAAATATTCAAGTTTTGATAATGCTCCTGAGATTAACAGAAAGCAAGGAATAATCCAGAACACAAATTTTGCCAAATTTATTAACGAATGAAGATATTTTCGGGTCACATGGTGGCAGATTGTCATTAACTTCAAAATAGAATCTGAACAGATGTAAGTTGACCGAAGAAAGTACTGTAGTCATAGTTTAGTCATGCGTACAAGGAACTGTAAGGATTACTGCATATTTATGTTAAACTAGTTATAATTCAAATCACTAATTTCAAAACAACCTAAAAGTCTTTTACAATTAAAATGATATAGTTAGTCAGCAAACAAGTACCTGAAGAGAGGAAAAGAGCTGATTTTTGAAAATCACTCAAGATTTAAAAAAAAACATTAAACTGCGAGAGTAATATGGTAGATATCAAATGAGTGAACCAAAAAATAAAAACAGATACTAAACCAATGATGTAAAGTATATATGTACTACACAATGCAGACCTAAATCAATCGGAAGTTTAGAGTTAACAGATTCAATACAACTCCATCCACTAAAGTATCAGTTAATCGATAGTGTAGAATATCGGAAAATAGTAGGTATGAATTACGACTTTTAACTAATAAAAATACCTTAGAAAAGAAACAATTTATTTATATCTAACTTATAAAATGGTTTTAACATGACAGTTTTTCTATTGTTATTATTATCATTAGTATGTCAAATGGAAATTTTCGACAACTTGTAAGCAGAGGAGATATGATATTGAGATTTAGTCGACAAGCTAAATTCAATATATTAAATCTATGCTACAATAGCAAACTGTAATGTCTCAAATTGGACGCCTACACGAATTATAAATAAATGACTTTTTGATTATTAGAAAATACAACAGTGAATTCATGATTTTTAATTATACTGACGTTGTATATTGTTGAATGATATTGAGAGAAAAAAGCACGCATTGTTTTCAATCTTTCAGAACTAATTTTAATCAATTTGTAAAATGCAGAAAAAGAAAATAACAAACAAAGGGAAAAAGAATAACGAGATTTACTTACTTCTCTAACTTTATGCCGTTCAATGACAACACGTCGTTGAAAATGACGTCGATACTTTTTACCATTTGCTTCAATGAATTCATAAACATCTTCTGTATCGGATTTTACTTCAGAATGACAATTAGGTGAACGATCGTCAATATCCTCAGTAATGGATGTCATTGATTCACAGTTGGCATCACTATTTAAAGTTGAAGTGTTTTGTTCATTTGGAATGACAGTAGTAAGTGTAGTGCTAGTAGTAGTAATAGTCGCATCAGACGAACTAGTAGCAATGGAGTTACTCGCACTTGATGTGCATGTAATTAGAGGATTTTCCAGCTGTGTGAAGAGAAAATAAAAACGTCAATAAAACTAATGATTAAAAAAACGTAGATCAAAATATTTCACACTATGTAGAGATCAAGATAGAAACAACAATTTGATATCAGAAGGGGAGTTTGTGGAGATTGTAGTGATTTTAATAGTTGAATACATGGGTCGACATAAATTAGATCACCATTGGAAACCTGATTTTCAATTGTGATCTAGCTTAGATCGACTCAAAGTAACTCTCTTTTTTTTCAACTGGACATTCATAATATTAACAAACAAAAAATAATATATGAGAATGAACAAAACAACACAAATATGAGTAGCATGTTAAAATAAAATAAGTCCCTTATTATGTTTTTTTATTACTTTTAATATGATGTTTAATCCTACTAATCTTATCAATAAATCTACCATAAAAATCAGTAAAAAGAGAGCACATCTAATAACTTGAAATATAAGCCATAGAAAGATTAATAGATTATTCTTTAGACAACCAAAGTATCATATCTAGAGAAATAATTTTATCGTTATTGTTGCTTATATGGTATAGGAAGTAATGAGCTACAAGAATTTCATTTATTTTGATGGATTAAAAAAATAATAATGATAATAATCATAATGATTATTTTAAATCATCAGCTGATCCTCATTCATTCTTATTAATGATCAAGTAATATGTAAAGGGAGAAATTTTAACAATAACAAAAGTTAGCAAATAACGTCAATCAGGAATTGATAAACACGAAATTTTCTTACACTATTTACAGTATGAGATTGTGAAGATTGTAGAATTTCATCAAAATCGTGAACCGATCAACTTTAGACCTCCATTAGAAACCTGTAAGAAATAGACGGCTATTTCGTTCTAGTGTAGGACTCCCATGAAAAGAGATTCAATAGTTTTTGCAAGTACATACCAGAAATTATCATGTGTTAAATACTGATTAGTTACGAAAGGTAGCTCTTGAATTTTTAGTGAGAAACCGTGACTAACTGAGTTCAACCGTATGAAGTGTGAGGCAATTATTCGCTGAAAACAATAGAAGATAGTCGTGCAACTTCGTAAATTGGCTGATGATAGACATTTACACTGTCGGATGCCAGCTCGTTGGTCTTAAGGGTAGGCATCTGCTCAAGACCGAAAGTCCTGGATTCGACTCTCAGGTGAGAGGTAGTGGATACTCTGCTGAGCAGTCCCATGCTATAGTAAAACAGACATCGTGCTTCTGGGTCTCCAATGGTGGTCTAATATTAATCGGTCCATGATTTCGATGGCATTTATGATATTATTTAAGCATTTGGTTAAGATTGAAAATTTGTTTTTTTTCATGACAAAGAAAGGAAACTATTCTTCAAGAAAGTAATGACGTCTATTATGGACGTCTAGTAGCTAACTACTTATATACAATAATCAGTTGTTTTACTGAAAGTAAAGAAATAGACGGAAAATAACAGGGTTTTGGTGTACCAAGGTTTGTTGAAAAACTACAAGAACAATGATTTGCGGAATAGGGTTTACATTCTAGATTATTTTCTAGACGTGCTGTTAGTGGGACAGGTCACTGACAAACTATATCATAATTGGAAAAAACGTCTTAGAAATTTCTGTTTGCTGCTACGTACAGAAACTTTAGACAACTTGGTGTGATATTTTGTGATCCTCCTAGGCGACGGTAATTCTTAATTACGAAGAATAAAGATTCGAACGGGATCCAATGCGATCTCGAGAGTTCGGGAGAGTGACACACAACGGTGCGACAATAACCCCCTACACAATGGAATATAAATCGCGTGGTCAAAATAACCGAATATTGAGAACAACATATATGAGGTGGAACACAGTAAGATTAGCATATGTGCAAATAAAAACTGGAACATGAATGCGAACTTATCATCGATATCAGTATACATTTACGAATTAATCCATCAGCCAAAAAAGGATTAAATGAGTCTTACTTAACGAGCAACAAACTTATTTTCTAAATTTTAGAAATAAAGTGATTATATCATAAACAAAATAAGTAATACAACTCAATAAATGGTAAGTGAGCTATCAAAATTTACGAGAGAATAAATGAAAACGTATCTCACAAAACACAAGCAAAATAATAAGGTATCGAGTTTGTTTCTATGTGTTTTCGTAAAAACAATCATTAAAAAAATAAAGCGAACACCACAACAAACTGGATATTCTAATGTGTATACTTTTATAACAGTACTTCTAAAACACTATAATATTAATGTATCTAAATTAAATTAGGTGGTCGTTTGACAAGAAACTGTACATTCCGACTATACAGTAAGTTCTAAACATCTGCATAGAATGCAAAGAATTGATATTCGTTAGATTTATAAATATCGTGTTAAATTGATAAGTAAATACAAGTTGCCTTAAGAGAAACTAAATCATAATTTTTATCTGAAGGATAGTAATATTATCAACCAATCAAAGCCATAGTAGATGGTGCGAGGTTTGAACTTATATCGTAAAAGATTATAGTGTTTTATCTTATCTAATTAAACTATTTTATTTAAACAATGACCTGATTTTCTTAGAAATACTTGTTTCAAGTTCAATACGTAACATTTAATGTAGGAAATGAACTTAAAGGTTAAAATAAACAGAATCATATGAAAAGGGAGTCTTTTATCTTCAAAAAAAGAATACATAAAACATACATGGCTTATCTTTGATTTGTATTATAAAAAATCCCAAAAAGTAACCAAAGCAAGATGCATAACATATATACTAGTCGGTAAACAACGATAAATTTCCACTTTGATTTTATGATGAATCATTATTCAGCAACTAACTAGTAACAGTAATGAAGAATGACATCATCAACAAATGAAAAAAGAAATGATTACATTAGTAAAACAAGTTGAATTGGTATAAGGTTACAAAGAACGTAGAGAAAAAAGATAATGAGAAAAACCCTTACAAGAAAAAAAAGCAAACTGTAACGTTAACTATATATATATATATATATATATAATATGGTAGAATATTTCGACTACACTTATGACCTATTGTATTATAATAAGACAACATTTATATCTAAAACAAAGAAAAATAAGTATTTCACTATGTAAACAAATACATTTGAACGTAATAAATTATACACAAAGATATATTGAAAACATGCAAATGAATTCTTGAGAAAAAAAAAAAGTGGTTAAAAGAACAACAAACGAACAGTGCCAATTGAAATCATGATATGAACTTGTTAAATGAGGAGTTGGTATACAGTAAGAAAAGCAAACACTTGTTTACAATTATTACTAACACAAGGTACAAATACCACCGTACATAACGATAGCGATATGATAGCTTAATTCTTAATTACATAAATATCAAAAGTTTTTCTTTCTTTTTGTAAATGTAACACCAATTTCTAAGCATATTTCATGTAGAACAAATACGTTATGTATGAAATTTAGTTTGACTTTCTAGACAAACTCTTTAAAATTTGGTGATATGCAGTACATACACACATATACAAATTCACAAACTCTACAAAGATATGAAATACAATTTTATAACTGTGGTGAAATGAAATGAATGAAAATTTTATGTTTCATGAAATGTGTAATAACTGATTACTAGAAAAAAAAATTGCCTATTGGTTTGTACAATAGTCTTTTTAGATCGGTGACTTAGTAATTAAGAGGTACGAATTTCAAAAACTAAGTCGCACGTCCAAGACCACCTTTATTACTTCATTTTGGGTAGCCGAATAATAGCACTAAACCTCATACACAAATTGTGACTAAAAGTCGAGTACATAGATCTGCACTCGATGAGCTACATCACATTGTGTAATATTTATTACCTTAGGAAAAATAAGACTAGGCTACTACATAGATGAGGACGGTGTAACCATATTTACACTAAATAAAAATCTATAGTTTGATAGTCTTCAGATAATTTGTATAACTTATATTGTCTCGTAGCTGTAAGTCAACATAATCCTGGTGTTATAAAATTACAATCTAGTTTATACACTACGTTGTGAAGTTTCTAGACAAGGATTTGAAATTATTACAAGTGATTTCTATCAAACTTTTAATATGATGCTTGATACACTTCCTGCTGTTGACTAAAATATCGAAGTTATTGGTCAGCTAACTATATTTTATATTTATTCTTTCCTTGAGAACTGGTGTGACTTAAACTATGCAAAAGAATATTACGCACTTGATAGTTTTGTTAAAATCGTTTTACGGTATAAAAGTTATAATGAGTTATTTTCAGTATGGGGTTGTGGAGTTTGTCGAATTCCATTGAAGTCATGAACTTATCTAAGCTAGATCATGATTGAAAACCTGAAAGCACTAGATGGCCGGTTCGTTCTGTTCCTAGACTTCTCAGTAGTGCACATTCACGACCCCGCAACTGGGAATCGAGCCTGAAACCTATCGTCTCGCGCACGAGTGCTTAACCTCTAAACCACTAAGCCAGCATTCAACAGTGTTAATGTCTAACCTTAATCACGCAACAACATTGAGTGATCATCTTCCATTGTGTTTGGCGAGTAACTACCTCATATCTGACACGGATTCTAATGAAGTTCAACAATCTCCAAAACCCCATACTGACAACTGTCATGTGGCTACTGGTGACTAGCTACGAGAGGAAGTTTCTGGTATTCTAGTGAGAAGCCGTGACCAATGGAGCTAATCTGGCTCGTGATTTCAATGATAGTGAATTATTTTAACTGAACAAACATAAAATTTTTTTATTTATGCTTTTTTCTTCGAACACAACAAAATATTTCCAGTTGAGATTGTTGTATTGTGATGATAATGACAACAATCATAGCATGAATTACAAGCAAATACTAAATCAATGAAATCCATTAGGTTTCTATGAAAATTAATTCGAAATCGCTAGGAACAGAATAGATTAACTTATTCTAGCTAGTTCGTATGAACAAGCTCCCATAAAAATAGTATGGTTTAAACTTGAGTATCTAAATTATACTTGGTCAATTATTAACATTAATCAATAATATGCTTTACGTATACGTTCTAAGATCAGATATTATCGATCCTCTCAATCGATTATAAATTGTATTAAAGGGAAATAACAAACGAATATCACCTGAGAAATATTTCTGAGTTGTTATTAACTTAAACTTTACACTGAATTATTAAAGAAAAAGCGACCACACCTTAAACTTAATTATATTTACCAGTAGTATAGTTACAAAGCCATAAAAACACAAAACAATCTATTACTGATAATCATATTCATAACATGAGCAGAATGGGAAAGAATGACCACTAACATATGCTTTAAATAAATGTTATTGTTAATAACGCGTTTTTTTAGCTAACGGTTGATCAATTTACTGACCACAAATATACTTATAAGTACCAGGAAAAAGGTTACATCAGTCAATTATAATCATTACAGGATATGGTACAAATGTATATCAATACAAGTTATTCTACCATATCAGTACAGGAAGGTGAAATTAACAAGATAAATTAGCAAAGGAGTGACTAAACGTAAAGAAAAATGCTTTGAAAGAATAAATAAGTTTTTGGAATAAATTAAATGAAATACGTCACGACAACAAAAAAGAGATAGGTATGAGCAAATAATAAAAGAGTACAACTAATTTAAGCAATAAAAAAGCACCGTAAAATATCACAACAGGCACATAATTTATGTAATTTCTTCTTTTTTTTATCATAAGCATAAATCAAACAGCACAATAATTTGTTTAAAGGCAAAACTGAAACGTTATTAGTTTTCTACTACCAAATTTCCTTGTTTTCTATAAATAACCCAAACATAAACGACACACCTCATAAGGAATAATTTACAAAAACTAATTTGTTAATAAGTGTAGATATAATTTTCAAGAAAAAACACGTTTACATATTTATAAAATAACCACAACCAAATCAATATTGTTAGAAGAATGCGGAAATATCCATAAGTAGGTTGTATGATCTTTCGATTTACTAAAGCTATCTAACTACAATAAATGTTCTAATGTATTAACCAAGAAGACGCTGATGTACAGTGAAGGAAAGGACTTGTCTGGTATAAGTAAACCGATGTCAAAATACATCTTGTATTGATATCACTTCCCTTCTTTGAAGTTTATAAATAGATTATACATGGATAATTAAGTTCGAAAAGCCAGATAATAATTACCCAACCAGTTCAATTTTGTAAACACACAAATTTAAGATCCGCTTTTATTAATTTATACAGTAGTACATCATTTTATATGTAACTGACATAGAATGAAATGATACAGGATATGTATGTACCCAAAAGTAGTGCGTGTAAGTCGAAATTATCATCAAAGCTATTTAACTTTTACAACCGATAATAAAGTCTTTTTTTAAATAACTGAAAATAAACTAACGATCTATATACATTGTAACGGTTGAAATCAACTAAGAGAATATCATAAACAAATGTTTTATTCATTGAAAAGAAATAAAATGTCTCAACAAACGACACTTTCGTTTGAACGATATCATCTTATGAAATTTTGCATTTATATATTTATCAATTATTTTTTACACGTACCAGTCCATATTAAAATAGAGGGGTTTTACAAAATTATCAAAGATAGTTAAACTTAATGAAGTGGTGTCGCGTAATATAGCCAAGATTATCAAAACTTTTTTCCAAGTATTGAGTACAATAATTTGCAAATGAAAGGGTGCCATTTCAATTTAATTAAAGTTTTCAAGTATTATATAAAAAGGTTGCATCACTTAACAAAGTAATCAACAATCATCAAAAGCTTACACTATGTAATAGTTTAGGAAGTAATAAGAGGTAATGATCGATGGAATAAAAGGTAAAGACACTTGTCTACTTAATAAAGCAGAATAATAATAAGAAATTTAATAGTTCAATTCATAAGTCAAAAATTATAAATCATTGGATTTCAGTTCATGTATGACACATCATGGTCTTTAAAACTGAAGGTCCTAAGGCACATTTTGTAATTATAAAGAAGTTATTTTTGAAATAGCTACCTAGTGATTTACACAGTTTGGTCATTTATTAGATGATGTCAACTGTTTTCTACATCATTTTTCACCTTATCAAAGTAATGACGGTAAGATATGTAAACATATAGGTATTCAACACAGCAACAAGTTGTATAAAAATCAAAATAGAAACACTGAACTATAAATTACCTGATGTGAAGTACACGAATCATTGTCTTGTAAATGCATCACCATTTTTGCTACTTCCTCCTGCATTAAACTATCACTAAGTGGATTGTTCGAATCTGCAGATGACATTGATTTTGACCAATATTTACAGTCTTTCAATTGAAATGGTAATTTCTAAATATTACAATATATGAATATAATAGTAAATTTGAAGTTGTTTCATGAAAGTTTTTAACTATTTATGAAAAATATTCAAATATACAAATAGACATACGAATCGGTAACCCAATGGGAATTTCACTTTAGGATTTTTACTACCTAACATTAAAGAGAGTACTGACAGGTCAATTTGTACTCAAGAAATAGAAGAGAAGTATTGAAATTTAATCCTGAAGAATCCATTGACAGGCGATAATTAATTTCAAATCTGAACTAATGTATATAAACATGAGTAAAGTGGGGACGTCAACTAGTAAACTAGTCTCTCAATGTATATTCAATTAACACATGACTAGTTTATAACCACTGTATCCTATTTCTTCGATGAGGCTTTACCCATTGCTCAAACTCTAATGTATAAATCTTGGCATGTTATCTAACTTCGCGTAACTAGATTGTTTGAAGTTGATATATTAGTACATGACTTCAGTCTAGATGAAATTAAATGTATATACAGGATATTTTATGTCACTATCAATTCTCTATGATTAGTAAGTTACGGAGAAAACGACGTAAAAAAAGAAAATAAATGATGCATTTATATATTATTGTCTAATACTGAAATCTGTTTTAATAATTTAGAGTTTTGAAGTAACTTTATCTGGTAATTTACAGCAAACGTTTACTGCCAATACATTACAACACACTGAGGCGAACAACTTTACATTGAGACCAGATAATCAATAAGTCATTAAATTCTATGTTTAAAAAGTGACGCCAAGATATTTAACCGAGATAAGTTACAATGAGTCGTATGTATATAGCTGAATCGATAGCAAAAAATACTGATAGAAATATAATGTGAATTTTTAAACGATTGAAATAATGTAAATAAAACTTTGTAGAACTAAGGCTAGAATGAAGGATTTTGTTGTCGTTTGTAAAAATAATAAGCTTCAAATAGGTTAAAATTATCTGTTTATCAAATGATATTCCTTAGGTTTGGTTGTATAGTTTTAAAGTACTACGGTATATAAGAACAATCCTGATCTTACATTCTTTATTAAGTGACTTGACTAAACTCAACACAGACTTTGTAAAAACCTATTCAGAGTTAGATGAAATAAATCATTTCACTACTCATAAGTGTTGGCAACATTCGGTGGATTTAGGCTTTTGTATAAGCACTTTTATTGAATATATTAAAACTATAAACAAACACAACAAAAAACAATTGACAAAAAATTATTTAGCGTTTGACAATTTCTAGTGAAGCAATGCAATAAATTAAGAATCTCTGAAATAAATTAACTACTTCTCAGGAGGACAATAGGTTAGATAGAGGTGTTAATTTGTGTTTGGTTAATATGATCTCACATAATACGTTATCAGGATTTCAAATTTTAAATACAATAATCATTCAAAAGTTATTCACACTATTATTGAGAACCTGAGCAATACACGAGCCATACAATCTATGTGAGAAATATTAGTTGTGAATCATCCCGATGTTTGCACAAACATTTGTCACGATTTGAATGAACAATTTCACAAAAATAAGACAATGGGTGCATAAAAGAAATTATGTATTGATTAATGTTCATTTATTAGGTTTGAATCATTATTTATGAGGCTACCTATAACAATGTAACATAAAAAAAAACAGTGTGTGCCTTGTTCAGTCACTGAGATTAGTGGCCAAACTGAAACTCGATCGATAGGATTTAATCACCATTAAAGGATTAGACAAACATGGAATTCGTTACTACACAGTAAGTGATCGAATAAAAGTTTTCTATCATTATCCAGCATTCGAACAACAGAAACGTTTTATACAAGAACATGAGAATACATTTGTTTAAGAATTTTTATCTAATAATTAAACCATCACTTTCTCCAAGTAATATAATACAAATCGGTAAACTCTTAAGGAGGGAAACAGAAAACAAAGATATCAGTGTGTATCCACCTCACAGAATCTCGCTTTCTACACAAGATAAAGGATTACTTGATGTGAGCGTGTAGGATCATAACACACTGAAATCCATTAGGTAGAATACATTATGTACACATATAGAGACAACGCTAGTTAAGTCTAATTAGCTATGAAAAAATGTATATTGCTGGCAAGTAGGTTGGTGGTATTTAAGTTAACCTCTTAACGGTTTCCACTGATAAAGTCCATTATTCATTAGATATTCTTTTTTAGCTTACATAAAATGTGACAATCTATAGAGGATATTCATAGTTTGTACTTTGAAACGAATATTTTGAACATAACTAGTGAAAACATTACTGCATAAAGTAGCATGAATATGCCAAATCAAAATAAGCTGTCATTACAAAACATAAAATGGTGCTGATATACAAAATAGCTTACTCGACTGGAATGAACATGTGAAAACTTTCCGTTACAAGTTGTTGAATATAACGATGTTTCATCAAAGTGATCAACTTTTTCCTTTTGTCTCGTAGGCAGTTTAGGTTGTTCGATAACAGAATGTGAGGCATCTTTAACTGAAAATAATGCGCTCTTAGGTTTACAACTAGGTGTTTGTATTGTACAAGAATTATCTAATTTAATCGAATTATTAAGATAATTGAAATTCGACTCTAGATCACTAGTATCCGACTCATCGACTAATGGGAAACACAAGTGGTCAGTTGCATTTAAATCCAATCTGATTTTAAGTTATATTAAAAAGAAAGAAAAAAATAATTAAGCATAGTATGGTAAATGACTTGAGACAAAAAACTGAAGACAAACGACAGTAAAATTAAGCTTGTTTTTAGTTAAAATCAACATTGAAACATACCTGGTGGTTGGCAATGTAAATTCTTTTTGACAATCTGAACTTTTCTTAATTGGACTTGAATTTGAAGGGTACTTTTGTTGAGCAGTAGAAGCAATTATACATAAATATGCTAACAAGTTTGGATCATCAAATGGGTTCATACTAAGTTGAGAAGATTGATTACTAGAGCTGACTAAATCCGTACGACGATCAGAGAATGGAATGTTGAGAGGACATAAATTAGGTAGTGGAGGTTTTGGTGGTGGTGAATTGGTGCCTGATAAACTACTGTTAGGATCTAAATAACGCCATAGTTTAGCTAGAAGTTCACGATCTTCATCAGTGAACACACTTGAACTTTTTATTGATGTATTGTTATACGAATTAGAATGACTAAGAATTTCGGTACCACTGTTTTTAATTTCATGACCATTTTTGTTTAAATGAGTAGGGGTTGATTCATTTTGTGCATAGCTATACCAAATGAAAATGCAACAATCCGAGTAATTAACAACGATATAAAGTGATTTATTAGTACACAAAAACAATTTCTTAATCTTTCATTGAGTACTTATTAACTGTTTAGTATCAACTGAATTAACATGATAACATGTATTGTTATTATTAATTGAAATGCTTTGCCATCATTGAGTACTTTGCACATGGATTTCTATAGGCAGTGACCAAGAAACCATAAGAATAGCTGTAAAGTTTATTAAATGAAACACCTTGCTTAACCAAGACCTTGTCCAAACACTCAGAAATCTCCACTCAATGATTTCACTGTCATGCATAAAAATTCCCGATTTATAAAAACCTAAATTCAGTGGTTATGCCCTGACTGTATAGTGAACTGTTAAGTAGTAATATTACCACATATCGGGCACTCGGAATTATAAATGAAACAACTTGGTAAATATTAAACAGGCATTTACATGCAATAAAGAGTTTTTGTCGGTAACTAGCCTACCAAAATTCAGGATCCAAGCATAGTACTATATGCAGTCAATTACTACAATCTCTATTTGCACAGACTTTTTGAACTATCTTTCTCTTGAAGATAATAATGATATTTCCATTTTAAAACTAGAATACTCATTCAGTTACAGATATATTCAAGCAGGTAACAATCCATGAACGAAATACACACAAATGGTTCAGGAATAATATAAATTTTTCAGCCAATCCTCGACAAAGATGGCTAATAGCCATATGATCTTACTGTTTAGGCAGTTGTGTCAATCGAAATGGCTGCCAAATGCCTTATTTAAAGTCGATTTTGATTGAAAACAAGTAATATAAACAGAGAAACGTCGGAAGTCGATCACTGTTATCGAAGAGAGGTAGGTAAGAGTAAGTATGAAGTTAGTTGTTAATGAGTAATTAGATTTCATCATTTGATCAACCATTTACTCAAATGTTACCTATTTATATTACGATGGCATAAGTTTTTAGTTTGAACATTTTCTAAATTTTATGAAAAAAAACGTTCTAGTCAGTACTGATCAACTTAATAGCTTCGACAGGTATACTTGACCATAATTTACTGACAACAGTTGTCGATACTTGTCAAAGGGAAAAAGATTAATCGAAGTACAAAACAAGAATAGTCAATTTGAAAACACAAAACACCATTTCAGAAATATAACGATTGGTTACTTAATAAACAATAGTTAATCAGTAAAATAAGCATTTTATTGAACGTCAATTACTTTGTGAAAGTATAAACAATTACGATTATTATTATTATTATTATTATTATTATTATTATTATTATTATTATTACTATAAATGATTAGTGAAAAATAATACCAGATAACAAACAAGCAGAAAACAATCGATTTATGTATATCGAAATAGCTATTTAAAAGTAGAAAAAAATTAACCAACTTGGAACAACTAAAATTGCATGAAAATGTGGTGACATCAGGATGGGGGTGGTTTGATTAGAACAACTAATTAATTAATCAATAAGATTATTTAAAATTATCGTAGCAACAGTACTCAACAAAAGTTTGATAAAACTGTTAAAGGAATTATTAGTCAAGGTCAAAGATTTTCTGAAGAAATATATGGAATTTGTCGTAATTCCTGACTCATTCAAGATTAATGTATAAGAAGGATTGTACTATGTCCCGTGTGTATCAGACTATGAATAACAAGCCTAAAGACATATATACAAAACAGTCCAACCACTAGTGACATGAATAAATAAAGTCACATCGTGTTTTAACTATCGGAAAGTTACTTTCAATTTAATTTTACTCCTAATAATAACGATAGATAAATACAGTTGGTGACTGAATATGGTCCCAAACCATACATCAAATAGTGTGATGGATAAAACTTTTTTATTCTAATAATTACTACACTCAGTTATACAAACTTTTACAACTAACCCAAATGCTGTACTCTAGGATATCAACCATCTAAACAAATGATACTTTAAAAGCAACTATCACCAACTAGTTGTATATTTATTACGTTTTGCATTATAGAAAATCATTTCATGGAGCTATCCAATTAGATCAGTTATTTACAGAGTTCAGATAAAGACCATCTACGCTCATATGATTTTGAGATGGTAAACATTTATGGCTTAGGTGGATTATTTTGATGGAGTTTTGTTATCTGAGCTGAATGGATTGGTCGTGGAGTTTTCATCGCCATACATGACATCATCTATGACGTGTTGGTATTCTGGATCCTGTAATATGCATCAGTTATCATTAAATATACAATTTTTCTTCCACTTTGCTCAGCTATTTTCCCTCTCGTCGGGCTGTGAGCCATGTGTGGAGAAATTCGAACACTTCACTTCTACCTGAAGTCTGCGCTAATGATGTCGTCCAGAATAACGATGAAAGCTTCACGACTAATCTATCTAGCTCAGAGAACAAAGCTCCATCAAAAAGAACATCTACAAACACAATAAATATGTTCGACTCCCTTAAAGTAATTACTCGATCTGTATTTAGTTACTCCCATCTCCTGTAGTACTATAGGGCTTTAGAATAAGATATCTACCATACATGAGTTTGTAAAAAAAATCTAAGACAATGTGATTTTCGCTAACAACCAATAGTAGATCATATCTTATTTTTATCGCCGGTTTTAAAGCAGATAATATGAAACCGTGTATATTATTGTTTTTTTCATAAGAATTCATTCAATTCCAAACTGAATACGAATTTCATAGATCAAGAAAAATATCTGACAAAGTATCTAACAATAATAACAACTAAGAATAAAAAGAATATTTCTATGTAAAGAAAGTGAAATAAGTATGGGGAATCGCTTTTATTCTTCAGTGCAGACTTATTAATTTGTCCATTGACCTTGTGCTTACGTCTCAAACCGAAATAGATAACATTTGATGCATGTTTTATCACAGAACAGCTATCAATTTAAGAATCATTCTAATTAACCCGTTTCCCAGCCTCTTTATATTCTAATTGTAAATTCAACAATTTGGCATTCAGATGAAGTACATTCTAATATTGTTCAACTCCGTAGAAAGCACTTATTTATTCCAGAACCATTTAAAGTAATACATAATGGGAACATCGAGATATTGAATTCAAATATTTCCAGCAGAGATGTATATGAGAGAAAGTGAAAAGAAAAAAACTATGGAACACATCAAGTAAGAAAGATGAATACTTTTCTTCATGTTCATTTTATATGTTCATCCAGTGATAGCAGAAGTTTAAATGATGAGAGTAGTAAAACAGAGTATCCGCAACAACCTACATATTTATGGAAACTAATTACTGTTAAACTGTTTTTTTTTAAAATTCACATTTATGTAAAATTATCTGTTGTAGTACAAAATGAATAAGTAAGTTTAGGTGAAACATATACACACTAACCAACTTTTATACAGCGAAGCTTCCATACATGACGGTTCAACAAACGTGGTGTAGCCAACATTTTTGAGTAATTCAAACACAGCCTGGAGAGAAAAATATACACAATGCACAGAAAACAACAGTAGCAACATTAGATATTGATATAGAGGATTGTGTTTACTATGTTATACATATAGAAGTCAGGAATTCGAATCACTAGGATCTTAAATAAGAAAGATTAGTTCAGCGAAGAGTTCTCTTTTCTGCGGAATCATTTTCAAAGCTGTGCAATCGCAATTATGCTGAGTCATCCTTTCGCAATAATAATTTCCCTATCTATCCTTTTTATCAATACTCAAACCATTAACAATCAGAAGATTATTAAACTTTCCTAGTTTAAAAAAAATTTAATACCTTTGTTAATTTAACCTCACTGTCACCATATCTAACAGAGGTTTATTACCAGTATTATCATCATCCTGTAAAATAAGTATATATATTTGCGATTGTACAGCTTTGAAAATGAATTCGCCGAAAAGAGAACTCTTCGCTGAACTAATCTTTTTCATTTAGTGTCTTAATGGGTGTATTCCGTCCACTAGGTTCTCTCTCAAATCATCGCCATTATGATATTTTCTATTTGAATAATATACTTACTTCCTTATGTCCTTCGATTTAAGCAGATAATGAACTGAATGATACAAAATTGTGCCTCATACATAAATGTTTAATACAAGACTATACTTTGGATTTTTATTTTGAAAGGATTTAGCTTTGCAAAATCCTAAAGAAATTATTAAAAGCGACCAGTCGTACAGTGGGCTGAATAAGTTGTAAAATGAAAACAAAACGTTTTACAGTTGGATTTTTTAAAAAGGATATGAATATATAGTGATCATTTTGAGTTTTTTCGGCAATAAGAACAAAAATTGACGCAACACCATCAGTATACATACATAAGCTTAAATAGTTTGCAAGGAACATAGTTTACATTCCAAAATGACAATAGCCGTGGACTAATAAAGGTGAGGGAGCACTCGATAGCTATTGTTCTCATGTGACGTATATTAGAAACCTACACGCTCACTATCGCACACTGGATATGTGTGTGGTCGTTCTACTATTGAACAGGTTATGTGTAATAATGAATGTCATACTGCAAAAATGGACTGAAGTTTGAAAATGTGAATTACTGACTTCCAACTGTGAGTCTAAACAGTTACAAAATCACCAGGAAATTCGGGCGTTCAATCTCAAGTGGATTGTTGAAAGTGAACTAAATAAAAATCCTTAACACTACAACGAAATAATTATAGAGTATTTCCGGTTTTTAATTAGGCGAAATCTCTCTCTCTCTCTCTCTCTCTCTCTCTCTCTCTCTATATATATATATATATATATATATATATATATATATATATATATATTTGATGACAGGACTAGCTAAAGTATGAATTAATTATGACCCCTTTTTCAGTAATGGTTAGTTTTGCATTATTTTAGCTTCTACTCCTCTCTAACACTCTGTTCTCTGTCTTGATAACTATCAGTTAGAAATTATAAACAAGATTTTCGCAAAAACAAAATAAGACTGATAAAATTAAAACATTTTGTGTGTCAGTGAGATAACGAAAGAAAGCTATTCTCATGATACATAGTGAATCGATCCCATTGAGGATTTCATAAAGTTAAAAGGGTAATTGAGAGGAAAAAAGGGAACAGAAGTTAGTGATATGCAGTGAAACTTTGCTCAAATTAATTTCCATTACATAAATAAATGTCTTGGTAAACTATACGGAGTAAATTGAGTATAATTTAATTTCTAAGAAGAAACTCATTGAAATTCAAGAATCATTATCTTCACCAATTTATTCCTTTAATCATATTTTATTTTTAATTGAACTAATTCTAAATTAACGAGTTATTAGAAATTATAATACTGCAATCATAATTAATAAAAATGTACTTATATACTAGTAGTACTATTCAACCAATAACAACATTTAGGAATTACAGATTTACGTAGTCAATTTTAGGTGACATTCTTTTTGAGGACTAATGATATAACCTGGCTGCTCAAGCTCAAGTAGGTAGACTGCAGTTCTAAAATCTGGCCTCTTGGTTGAAAAGTGAGTTCTGTAGCCAATAAATCGACAAGTAGGCAATAGTATATTTGCGTGTACAATTACAACTGTTAGGTTATACATTTTTTTCTATTAAGTAAAAATACAATATATGCTTTTTTACTCATCGCATCTTTTATTACACTTTAAACACCAAATATTTATTATTGTTTAATAGTCTGGGAAGAATAAATACACCGGTAAATTCCTTAAACAGCTACAACTTATTCAAACCTACGAATAGTCCAGTATAATGAATAGTATGTAAGGAGCCCACTCATTTTCTTGAACTACTCTAGTGAGGTTAGCAATCGCAGTCCATTCTTGAAATGAATTATTGCTTTTCATAGAACATTTACTGTGTATTGGAGAAGAGAAGTCCTAACGACAGATGAAAATCTATATTCACAAACCGACGGTGTACTAAAGTAATCCGTACTGTCAGACGGACAAAGATCCCACAAACCAGTTAAGGGTACCGTGTAAATGTAGCCCATAGTGTCATCTGGCAACCTTGCAAATTGAACCTTAATGTGAATCGCTTAGAAGTCCCTTAAAAAAAGTCAGGGTCTTATATAAACTACAATATACTTTTTATCTGGTAATTGTTACAGCAAGTTTATATTTAAGTAGTAAACACTACACAGATTGGATCGAACTCAAAATATTTGTGACTATAACTTTCCCACGTGATATTTTGTTCAAGTTCTCACACTTACACATAGATAACGTCAAGCAACTTAAAAATGATACTGATAATTTGTTCATAAATAACAAACTATTTGGTTTTCTATATTTGAAATGTTAGTAAGTGAAACACATGACAGTTTGCCTAAACTATTACGATATGATGAACTATAACTGTACTCAAGTCGACATGGTTTGGATTATCCCGTTGTTATTTTGATTGAAATTCGATCAGCCTTGGTTAGCATAGGTCGATCCTATGCGGATTGTCTTATGTAGCCATTATAACGTAAATTAATAAAGAATAGGGAAAAATGAGCTTTCTGTGTACCATTATTACTCACACCTCATTTATTCTATATAAATATATTGTTAACGTCGCATTTGCATAATATTAAAAACAAACAGTTTAACTAAACGCAATAGTACTGAGATTTTAGGTCTCTATCAAAACTGAACTAAGACTGATTCGTATAACAAATAAATATTCAATAATTTATTGAGCGAAAGATAAAGCTTCATAAAGCGTTTACATGTTATATTAACTAATCAATGAAATTTGAGGGCAATAAACAGACTGATAATTAATTATTCGGTAGAAACAATTACCAAATTATTTCTAACTTTTTGATTATATTTACATAATTTATTCTTACTAATCGATAGTAATTATATAATGACTAATCTGATTGATGATAACTAAACTCATCTGTATGTTTGTTTATCTTTATTTCTGTGTTAGAAACTTCAGTTGTCTTTCTGTTTAATCAATAAGTTAATGAAAGTGAAATTTAAATATTTCATGAGGGTATCTAGTAAAAAAGTTCTCAATGTAATTCAAGCTACATTTCATCTTAGCTGTCATAATAGTTAACATTTAAATATATGTGAAATCCATCTTAGTATTTTCATGCTAAGACTTGAGCTTAAAATTTTCAGCTTTGAGACTTAAATAGAATTAGTTAATTGGTTACAATATACAGGAATGTAAAAATGACAAAAAAAATTTCTCGTTGAAAATAAACAACTCCATAATATGAAGTTTATTGTATAGAACAGTTCTAGTATTGAATTAAATGTGAAAAGACTGCTTACCAAAGCACATGATTGAAGTTGACAGAATAACAATTCACCATCACATTGTAAATCTTGTAGTAAATTAGCATCCTGTATAGAATAATTTGATTTTGATAGTAGAATCTGTTGATTTGTAGGACTATTTTCATCAGAAGGTTGAACAACTGTCGGACCAAATGTGTTAGTTACAAATGGAGCTGATGAAAGTTTATTAATCCAATCAGTAAATAACGCATGTGCTTCATTGAACTGATTAATCTTTACCATAATCATTCGACTTTAACAACAAAAGGGAAAGAAAATGAGTGTAGATAATCAGATGAAAAAAATTAGTAACCAGAATAAAAAACCATATCAGCAAACTGTAAACAACGCATGATCAAGAAATGTTTTATCTCACCAATAAAATTTTTATCAAGGTAAAAATTGTAAAGACTGACTTTTTAAGTTGAAAAAAGTTGGAGGACAATTACTTTACAAATGTGTTAAATAAAATGAATTGATAATCTAGTTAGTTTACATCACGATTTTATTATACAATGAAGGTAGATCTACTTCCTTCTGTAATAACAATGCATGATATTGGTTGAAAAAATGTTTAATTTAGAGATGTTTACTTTATTATTCTTTGCTACAAATTTTGTTTGCTTCATTCATTTAAAAAATAATACTGACTGCCAAATAATCTAACATTAATCTTATTAAAAATTAGAATATTCAGGTCCAGCTTCTTTTACAGTAAATTACTTTATCTCAATAGCCTATGTTAGGATTATTATGTATGATTTAATGCCTTGGAGTGTAATTTATTTAGTTTTACCACCTCCAAATGATTATTACAGAAGTAAACAGATTTATAAGAACTCAAATGACGTTTATTCTTTAATATAACTAAGTGTAGCCTGATTGATGGTTTTGAGCCAAATATTTGATGTAAAGAAAAGTAATAATACCATGGGATGTGTGAGATGCCTAAACCTAAGTATTGAGAACCAAATAACCTAAAATAATTCACTGAAGAATACAATGCATAGAATTTAACATCACAAAGATACTCGTATTCATCTTTCTAAATAATTTTTTAACATTTTCTGAATGATGTTTTAACGTGGAAAAGTAGGATATATTGTTAAACTGTAAAACTAGTGACTCACTTTTAAAAAAGAAAACGTATAATAAATATGATTTAAATGAATACAAATCTATATTAGTTATTTTAGAAATGCCAATCACTTTCACATGACAACTTGTGAATTATTCATATAAACATTCAGTAACAATGGTATTTAATCCTTAATAATTAGAAATATAGACTTGACTAATACAAATTTTACTTAAAAATGAAGCTGTTTTATTACTGACTTGCAGTATTGTCATTGAAAGACGAAAAAAAAAATGGATAAGAGAAATGTCATCAAAACGTATTAATAAAATGACTTCACAATATAAAGTTAACTGATTAGATTAAAATGTATGGTACCAATTAATCTTTGATATTTTCTTGCCAAAAAAAGGAACATCTGTACGTAACATAAATATCATGTGATTCGCGCACAACAAGCAAACAAAACAAAAAGAGACAAATAAACTAATGAAATATATGTATCGTTCATTAGAAATTTATTTTTCACCCGCATAATATATGTACAGCTGGTACTTTGTAATTTGTGACAAATTCATCTTCAATATCGCCGTTGAATAGCATTTGAAAGTAGTAAACTATCAATGTGAGACGTTAAAGATACTACAGAAGGGATCGCGTATACAAGCATTTTAATCCAGATGAAAAATAGAACGACTAAATTAGGTGACAGGAAAATGGATGCAACAAATGAAATACTGCACACCGTCATGTTAATTTTACCTCTAACACTGATCAATAGACAATACCTGAATCTAGTACCGTTAAGCCTGTTTACAATCGCCTCATTCATCGGAAAACAGTCCAAAAACAATTCCACACACTCCTGATCATGCAAGCAACAAATGTTGATGAAGTGATTAAAGTTTGTAACAAAGGATTCCATGTAATAAGAAAATATACTTGAGGTGGTAGGACTAGAAATTATAAGCAATAGTTCATACTTTTAACACTATTTATTAAAATACTTTTTCAAACAATTCAAAAAGCAGGAAGTGTTACGAAGAAGCAAAAGGAATATGAGAGAAACACTGAAGATAAACGGATACAAAAATACAAATTCAAACAAGGACTTGTTAATTTCGTCCTGAATTCCAATAACAGTAACGTACAGAAACCATTGAAAATAATTTTAGAAAAGTCAAATTTTCACTAAATAGTTGTTTAATATTGAGATTATCAGAATGGGGGTTTGTGAAGATTGTAGTAATTTTAATAGTTGAATTCATGAGTCGATCTAAGCTAGACCACCATTGAAAACCTGGAAGTACTGGACAGCCGTTTTACCCTAAGTAGTGCGCATCCACGATCCCGCACACAGAACTCGGACCCAGGATCTTCGGTCTCGCGCCGTCCAGTGTTTCTGGGTTTTCAATGGTGGTCTAGCTTAGATCGATTCATGAATTCAACTAATATTGAGATTACCAATAAATACACAAAAAGGAGATGAAAGAAGATGGGACAAAGAGAGAGAATAACTGAGGAAAAATACTTTTAAGATTAGTTTCCAGAAAACATTATCATCATTTAGTCGGTAAGCATGACGATCAGGAAGTTAATTCAAAACACTGACTTTCACAAAACACGAAATTAAATAATCACAGGTTATTTAATGATTTTTATTTTTTGTTATCCATTCCTCAACTGACAAACAAGTGATTGTCATAATGTTATGACCGAATATTTTGTCCACAAATTATAGTTCCGTTTCCCAAAAATATATTTACATGGTCGACTAGTAGTTCTGACTTCAAAACTTGATCCAATTTGGATTTAAGGATCGATCATGCGAGTAAATTATCGGTTTGGCTATCCACGTTATTCTGACATTTTATCAGTTAAGTGATCTATCATAATAGTAATATCTTCTAATTTCAGTGATAGCAAGTCCTATAATAAAACTGAGCACATTGTTGGGTTGTGACCAGAACTTTTCAAGCATAGCCCCACTGGAGATTATTGATTTAATCTAGAAAGCTGGTAATCCGATAAGTAGAAATATATTGTTACCAATTTATTATCTATTCAATTTTAAGCTTTTCCTTATGCATGAACAAAAGCGAATCAACACTGTATACAATTAATTGAAATTACTTCATTAGGATGATCCTAACTTTTATTACACAATAAATACAGGAGTAGCAAATATTTTCTTTACACGATACCTACTTTAAAGAGAATATAAAAACTAGCACTTGCATTAATAATATATATATTTTTCAATTCGGAGTTCATTTTATGCGAACGAAGGAGTAAAAGCAATAAGTAATCATGAATATTTAATATAACCTTTACATTAACTACTCAATCAATCCCTACAACAATAAAAAAAATCAGAGTAAAGAGCTGAGAAACAGAATCCATAATCACATGAAAAATAAGGTCATTAAAATCGGTGGAACTGATAGATTTTCTCTGAAATTTGTAAATAAATAGAATGAAAGTATGGAATGTAATGGATATAAAAGAAAGAAAATAAACATCATGTACATGAAATGCGAGAACACTAAATAAGCATACAGTCAACTGGATAATAATAATAATAATAATAATAATAATTAACAAAATAGTTTGTTAGAACTAATTTTAATTATGAATGACACAACTGGAATGATACAAACCATATTGTAAGAGATAAAGAAAATAGACATATTTCAAGTTCAATAATTAATGTTATGTTGTAATGTTTATAACCTAGATAGGATAATATATACGAATTTAAGATAATTTTCATTATAAACCGGAATCACTTAGTGAATCACTGTGAACCACTTTGTCGTCTATCGATGCTTTGGAATCTAATGGTTGATATTTTCAACTCCTCTTAAACTAGAGTGAAACACTTATCCAGAGCTCTTTGGGTTTTAGTGGTTCTTTAGGTTGTAGTGAGGGAGAACACAGGTGACGACAAGCGAATTACAGGGTTACTACTTGGTAAAATAGAAAAACCATACTATAATACTTAATTTGCAAAATACTCAATAATTGTCTCGGACTTCATTGTTCTTGTATTTCCATACTAATTGCTTTCTACTCCCGTTCTTCCTTTCTTGATCTTCCCAATCTTCTGCTGCCAGACATTACATTCCTGACTCGCGTTATATACTACTTATGTCAATATGATTAACGTACCACAAGGTGATCATGGTTCGTAATCATAATTTCCACAAAAAACACTCTAACTAATAGATATGTATAAACCTATCAAGACGTCATTTGGTTTTCGACAGTTTTACATAAATACACATAGGTGCTTAAAATGATAACCTGTGACTTGAAAGTAAAATTGACCTGATAATTACATAACGAGTGTCTAAAGTTATCAAGTAAGATAAGTGACATGCGATAATTGTTGAAGAAAGAACTTGAAGATAACAAACTCAGTTTATTCTGTCACAGACATTCAATCTAAAATGAAGATTGATGTAAATATGAGAAGATGGACATAGATTTTGTTCAATGAACACTCTTCCTCTATAAACGAAGGATTCTGAAGTAAAGAGAAATTAGTCTAAAGACTAGAAAGAGGACAACTGATTTGGCAGTATGACTGATTTCATCAAGGGACTTTAAACAATGGAGTATATCAAAAATATTCAAGTCATTGAAATGTTCTCATTGATCTTTGTGAATAATCATCCTAGTGAATGATTCCGAATAACAATATTGACAGAACATTTCGGATCTCTGGATCTTTCGAAGAAATGAAACAAAAAAATTTATGTACTGAATTAACTATTTTTTATTCGATCAGAGGACTGAGTTAACAGAAAGCGGCATTAAACTTCTCTACTAATGAATGCACTAACAGAAATGATGTCAGCATTGTTTAGGATTGTATTCTCATATTAACCGTCTCAAGAAAACAGCTAGTACACGCGTGAAAAATCTACACGACAGACTAATGTGAAATATGATCGCGAATCCAAGTAAATAGTAAAAAAGTGACCCGAAAATCAAATGAGTATCTTTCAAAGGTTTATTGATTTGATTTTAATTCACAAAGTCATATGTTCTACATTTAGTATACTTGTTAACCGGCCGATAAAATTAGGATTCGAAACACATGCCAACTCAATATAAGAATAAATGATCAAGTATATAGGTTTAAATCACTTGATATTAGAGTATCTCAGTTTGATCAATATTTAATAGAAGATAAAAGCTATAAATTAGGTCAAAATAAGTAGCAAAATGAACAACAAAAGTAAATAGACAGTTTTAATTTTTTTTAAATCAATTTTTTACCTTCAGAAACATATTGGATTTTTTCCAGTGATAATAAGCGTAATGATCCTATTGACTATACTGCAAACTAAGCTACTGTGAATTTAAATTGCGAGTAAAATAATTTACCATATCAAACTGGAGATAATACAGATGCAGTAGTGAACCAGCACACCCCATGGCAAAAACTGTCCTAAACATGTCAGCAAGTAGCTTTATTATTAATTCCTGCATCATAGTTTATGTCTGATAGCACTGCTTGAGCAACACCAACTTACACAGGTACTCCGAAAGTGGTGATAATTCTAACTTATAAAATAACATCCCTGGTTTTTGGTGACCTGGCTTCAAGCTACGTATTAGAGTATCTAATATCCAAACTCGTAAACCATTCTCTTTGTGTAGTCTTGTTACTACCAATGATATTACTACTGTAGTTTCCATCTTTAGAATTTTACCTCACTTTTCTCACGTGGCCAAGGTCAGAATTTTCAATACAAATGTCAAGACAGTTCTACTGTATGGGGCGGAGACTTGGAGAACTACGAAAGCCATCATTCAGAAGATACAAGTGTTTATTAACAGCTATCTACGCAAAATACTTCGGATCCGTTCGCCAGACACTATCAGCATCAACCTACTATGGGAGAGAACAAAGCAGATCCCAGCCGAGGAGAAATCAGGAAGAAGCGCTGGAAGTGGATATGACACACATTGAGGAAAGCCCCCAACTACGTCACAAAGCAAACCCTCACATGGAATCCTCAAGGCCAAAGGAGAAGAGGAAGACCAAAGAACACATTATGCTAACAAATGGAGACAGACAGGAGAAGAATGAACAAAAATTGGATAGAACTAGAAAGGAAGGCCCAGGACATAGTGGGTTGGAGAATGCTGGCCAGCGGCCTATGCTCCATTGGGAGTAACAGGCGTAAGTAAGTAAGTTTCTCACGTGGCATGGTTATTCGAGTCGATGGAAATTTGTGCCTAGTGTTATGCTATTTACGACATACTAACCGATTTAATATTTAAACTCTGTCAATTAAGGCTGAAAACCATATCAAATAAAACTTCATAACTTCATATTACAAATGTACATTGATTCTGATCGTTTTATACACTGCCCAAACGTACTTATCAACATATTACCTGGCCGGTGTGGCAAGTCAGAACGATTCACCTTTTGTATATATCTAAAAGTTATTAAACGATAAGTTGAGAAGCATTTACAACCCATCAGGAGGAAAGTCATCAAATTATTTATATGCCACGCTGAGAAGTATAGAACTCACTTTTTGAATTGATATAACAATATTATTCCTTTTAACACCTGTCCCATTGAATATATCCACTATATGTTGCAATCTGAAATGATTGTGGTCTAACCACACATTCCGTTTTTTATTTGAACGAGTATCCGCTCAAGGCTATGTCTATTTAGAAAATTTGCACTTCTTCTTTAACTAAAGAGAGATTCAAGGGTAGGTTGAATAACCTCTTAGGTCAAGATAATTTTTCGTAGAAGTATTCATCATATGAGTGCTACTTGACGTTTGGGTTTTAAAAAGCGCAGCTCAATAATCCCAATCAATTTATTATTCTATTAATGGAATTGAATCTAAACAAACATAAAAATAGTGTGCTAAGTCATGAACGGCACACCATTTTAATAATCCTTGCAATACATAAATCTACATTTCAATATAACACACTAGAAGATCAATTAAGAATGATGAGTGTAACTACATATGCTCCAACCAGTTGTAAAGTAGTTTTCTGATCACAGTTAATAAGATTTAAACAACAAAGCGCATTTTATTTACTTACTCACTTGCAAACTTAAATATATATACTTCTATTTATGAGAGAGATATGGGAAATAGAGAAGAGTGAGACCAATGATATAAGTGGTCTGTTCATGTTTCGCTATTTTAGTTTATTGTCCATCATAATAAGACTTAAGCCCAAATCGTGACATGATGCTATTCATATCAGAAATTTTCTTATGTACCTCATATATACATCAGGAGTATCTAAATGCATAAAATTAATAAATTGCTCCATAAAACTAATCATGCTTTTTTCCAAGAAACCAAAACTTCACCATCAGCTAGAAAATATGACTATCGCAATGTACCTTATCAAGAAATAAATCTTCAGGACAGTGCAAGTAAATATAAGCCGCATCACCATGGGTGTGTTCCGGTAGAAAATTTTCTTGATAAGTAATAAGAATAATCACGATTCAGTAAGAATAAGGCGAATATCAACTAATACTTTTCGTAGAAAAGTGAATAAAATTAGCAGTCACCTGACAAATACTAGAATAAATTCATGATATAACCATAATGCCAAAAGTTGTGTAATTTTTTAGATTATTTTAATTATCGGTGATCATTAAGCATTTGACTAAATCTTCGACATATTCAAATTGCTAATATATTTAAAGATTTTGTTTAAAGATAACTAAGTATTAAAATCGTAAGTTTCGACAGATTCGTTTTTCTCTATCTGCAAAAATGATGCATACATTTCGGGCTAACAATCAAAATTATTTTAATCAAAAAGAAAATGTTTTCGACCTCTAATTACTGTACTGACATGAATCACTAACTACTCATGTGTTTAATGAGTAGTTCTTCATATTTTGTGCTCTTCAAAGAAGTATTACTAAACTAGTTATGAAAATCACAACAAACGGTACCATGGTTAGGAGTTTAAAGGCTAATTCCATAAAGAACTCAACGGTCTTTGGCTTTATCATTGGTAAATTTATCTGTACCTATCAACGAAAAGAAAACGGTGTTTAATACCTAATAATTTTCAACAGTTGGTATTCAAGAGCTGAGACTTGATGTCAACAATACCTTAAGGATTTTGGAAAGATAAACACTGGATTTTTAGCCAAGTATTAATTAGGTATTGCATATTTTTGCCTAAGAATGGTAAACACAAAGATCATACAGCTTATCACTTTCTGAGTTCCATAAGCTATACGATAGGCATTAATTTTATACCCCTATAATAAAATTAGTAGGTTTATATTCCGAGTAAAGAATAAGGCGGTCAGAAAAGTGTCAGTCTGTTAAATAAAATGTTGCAGAAAGCGATGTGTAGGAAGTCCTAAGCAATGATGCCTTAGCTTTGAAGAAAATGATGCTCTGCTGGGCTTACACAAAGTATACTGGGGCTTTAGTCACTTGGCTGAGTGAATAATAGAACTGAAGAGTGAGCGGCACAGTGTTTGTTATCTAGCAATCAATTGTTATAGTTTGGAAATGAGGAAAGACTCCAAACGTTTTCTTTCCTTAAAAGTAAGTGATACTCACTTGTCACTCATACGTTGTTCGTCCTTTTTGGAATCGGCCAGTAACGGAAGCTGGATACATGCAGCACCAGAAGCGATACGTCCACGAATCAAGCGTGCACATTCAGTCAATTGACTTATTAAATGACAACGATTAAAGGGTCGAATAACTTGACGTGTTAAGTTTGATGTGTAGGCAAGTTCCAAAATCAACTCAGTATACGACTGGGGAAAATCCAATGGTGGCTTATAAAAAAAGAAATACTACTTGTAGATAGAATCAAAATCAACATCAAGACTGTTTTTAAGTACCAATATGTGTTTCGTTTATTAAGGGTTTATTAATTAGCAGTCTTGCAAGGAAGTTAAAACATCATAGAGCAATAGATTTAGAAAATAAGTGGTAATAGTATGTTTTACACGGTTAGTTGGAATTATGAGGTTTTATTATACGGACTTCTAGACAAAGACAACCAAGATCAAGTTTCCAAAATGTGATTTTGGACTTTTCAAGAACTAATATAATCATGCGCAGAATCTAAATACTTCAATAATGAAACCATACCACTACAAATAAAGCATCTAATACACAACACAGCACAGTCAGTGGATGATGTAGTTTTTTTTGGCCTGTACCAATGCACAAGTAAGTGTCCAACTCTTAATCGCCAAACGTTTGTGTATGAATGTCAGTATATAAGCCATCGGTAAGAATTCAAAAATAATTATCATGAGATTAAATATAAATCAATTGCAGTTCTAAATAACGCTCAGCACCCAAGAACTCATCTCTGAAATAAAGATCATATCAGAAAAATACCCATTGGTGCCACAACCGTGACTCTTGAACTCAATAAAAGTTCGTTTGCCAAAAGATTTATTTATCTAAACGTAAAATCTTGGCAAAGAGTAGGGACGATGTTTTGCTTTTATACCTTTTATTTTATTCTACTTTGTTATCATTGAGGTAATCCCCAGGTAACTGGATTTAATATATTATGGTGGTATTTTTAAAGTAAGTGACCCACAAGTTAATGACTGTTCGGCAATCTTGTTGATGAATATAAACTATTAATCTCACGCTCAGCCATTTAGTTTTCCTGTTGTTTTAATGATTCTTGACAGTTATTAGCTTTATTTAGGTAATATCTCTCCCTAACTATAAGGTAGATGGGTGGGTGTTATGTGGCGAGTAAATCGAACTTTTAGTACATTGATATGACTCAAGATGCTCTACGCTTTGGTCTGGAGTGCTTGGCAGCTCTTTCACACTGTCATCAGTCCATGGTGAGATTATCTGCAATAATAATGATATTGAGAGGATAAGTGGTAAAATCAAAGACCTTGTGAAGAGCAATATACAACCGGTGAGTGAAATATTACATACAACTTTGACTTTAGTAGTCTTCTTCCTTCTTTTCCGAAAATCCAGACGAGCAAAAGGATTAGTAAACTTCGGTTGTTGTGTAGAAAATTTGCGGTTCATATTAAAATCCTTGAGATGAGAGGTATTTTCAAGGTTGCTTTCATTTAAAACCAATTTGGAAAGTTTTCGCACCAAATAATTTGTTCTGGGTTCTGCAGAATTCGCACGCCGACGAGGAATTCCTTAATACAGAAAATCAACATGTTATTAAGAAGAAATCAAAAGACAGACTTATTTACTGGCAATTATATACTAGCAAGTTCTGAAGCAATATGACCTGATCAATAACTTAACTACATCTAGTAACCAGACAATCAAGATATGCGTATTAAAACACTATAGATTAGAGATGAACAAGTATTGTGCCTAATGACGTAACAAACAAAGAATACGGTAGATATGGAGACTCTAAAATTGACATGACCATAAATAGCCCTCGGATATCTCACAACACTACTCCGTTGTTTGGTCCGAATGACAAGTAAATGTGAACTGATTATGACATTCAAGCAATAAGTCAAGAGTGTTGAACAAAAGCAAATATTTTTAAACCGAATTCAAAAAACGGATAAACCATAGTCTGAATAAACTAAAACCGACTAGATTTTCTGTACATAAGTTTCAAAAGATGCCCGAGTTCTCAACACGACAGGTGCGAAAACATCCATATTAAGAACAGAGTGAAAAAAGTCAAAACTTTCGATGAAAAAATGACAAAAGAGAAAAAGAAAGATGAGTCAAATTCCAATAGCTTCTTCCTGAGGACGATTTGAAGAACAAGATTTTCCAGAGCCGAAAACAGGTCTACGACTGACGTGGCGTCCAAACCGTTATCAATCAAAGGCTCTTTTAAATCTCTTTTGATATTTGCAAATACAAAATAAATAATTATTACTACAATAAAAATTCTTCCAAAAAAACTAAGAACTTCTTTTGAAATCTGGTGCACTTGTTAAATGGTCCATTAACAAAACGGACAAAGAGAACCATAAAAACTTGAGAGTAGAGTGGATAAAACTACATTATAAGGAAGATATGACAAGTTTTCCCAAATCTAGTCAAAAACTATAAAATCAACCATTTGAAGTTGTGTATTGCGATCCAAAGTATACAAAAGATACTTCGTTGACTGGAACTAAGACCAAAACCGTAAAACTTACTGGACTCCATTGTCGTCATGTTACAAGTATTGGAAACATAACGCGAAGATCAACACACGCGCTTTGACCTTATGCAAAATATCTGACTCAATAGAGACTATTGTTCCAGGTCATTGACCTTGAGAGCAGAACACAGTTGGACAGTTTTTCTCAATCTTTAGAGCTTTTACTTCTCGTAGCGACTACAGATTAAAAGCATTACCTGAGACAATGGACTCTAGAGTATTCACTCTTCTTAAAGATCTTTCAGAAATGGATACTTAAACACTGAATCTTCTACGAGAGGGTGTTATAATTACACCTTTGCTTATCGCTCGTTGGTGTCCTATGATTTATATGGTTCTTCGGAAAACACTAAATAAATGAATAACGTACCTGTTCTCGTAAAGCGAGGCGGCTGTATCAGATTAGTCTAATCGAAGAATTTACCTCCAGTCTGTATAGCTTATTCCGTCATTCAGCCTCTATTCGACTAGACAGAGCTGGAGTTTCCAAAGCAACAACGTTATTGATACTCCTGAGCTATTGATAAAACAGTAGTCATAGACGTTGCGAGAGAGCCCTACCTAAAATTCAACAGAAGTCTTGAAAGTGAATCTGAGCGCATGGCTGGTGTACCAAAGTCTTCAGTTCGCAAACGTGAATACGTCGACATTACCCACTCCTTTTATAGTGAGGAGCAGCCTTAATCTTGGCAACACATTCGCAATAGCTAAATAAAGGTGCAGTCTCAGAAAATTGGAAGTTTGCATACGTCACACCAACTTTTAAAGGTTCCCGACCCAACGGGCCTTCGAAGTGCTGACCGGTTGCACTTCGTTCAATACCTCCAAAGGTTATGAACTTCCTGATGTCCAATAGCCCATGCGACTACTTGTTATCCACATAGTTCTTTTCGCCTCCAACATTACGCTCCCAGGAAGTATTGTTTCTGCATCACTGACCCATTCAGTGCAGTGGACAGATAGACTATCATCCTCATTAGCAAAGAGAAGGTGGACATAATTTACCTCGATTTCTTAAGTATTTGACAGGGTCGATAAAACACATCTTATCAATAAACTCGATCCCATATGTTCCATATCTTCATCAACAGGCTGTTTCGAGTTGTTTATAGACGTTTTAGGATAATAGAAAACCTAACATTTTATCGTGCTGCAGGACGTCTTGATGGATTCTTCAGGGCTTGATACTGGGACCTCTTCTGTTTTTAATCAGTGTAAGATAAAGAGAGCACATAGAGTAATCACCCTCTTATGGTGCGTTAATGCACATATTAACTATTACTTTATATCAAGTGTGAATAGCTTTTTCAAAGGTTTTTATAAACAACACCGACAACTGTCGTGATCCGACGAGCTAAATCACAACACAATTTAGATTCGATGTAGAATCTTATGAGTTAGACAGTAAGATGATAATAAGTCCACAGTATTGGACTAGTTTTATTATTGTAGTACCGTACATAAATACACTCACTACAATACTAGACGTGAATCCCACAGAAGCCTCTAAAGTACCTGAGAAACACATGTTTTACAAAGAACAGATATACGTTCACTGAAAATATTTTTTGAAACTGTGAACGTGACATGTAGATGCAAACAAAAGGACTTCGATTCTTCTTTTTTGTCGTACGAAACGAATTCTAACAGGATATGATGCGAAAGTGTGTCTGTAGAATTATGGTCTACTATGATATTAGTACCGCTCTAATAATAGACTTAGTCCTAAAATTGTAGATTTATCATCATATAACTACCTAATATATATGATCTTACACGGAAGTCATATTAATATCTACACCAACTCATCGCGTCGTAACAATCATCAATATATGATGAAGAACACCCATAGGCTAGAGATAGAACAATATATTTAATATGAATAAAAGGTACATTTTAGCACTCAATAATGACCACGCCTGTAAGGCCGAGCCATGTCATCCGATGGATTCGAACTAGTTCAATTCATTCTTCCCGACTTCTATATCGTTGGGTTTTTCTCCGCGTCAAATGTTGGATATGTATTTTCCCAGTTGTCTGGTTTTCAGCTTTAAGTATTGTATGGTTAGGGCCCAATACCACTACAAGTTCATCGTTTTCTGCCAAACATCAAAGTTAAGTCTGATTCACCTGAGTTTCTAGTTTGTCATCCTGGTTGCCCACTTTACTCTAAAATTTTGAGATCTCCGGCGAAAGGTAGCAACTCTAACGGTACTCGCTAGATATCATTAAAATGAATGAAAAACGGAAGGTATCCTTGCACTGAACTCTGAGGGATCCCATAAGAACATCCAGTAGCGCGAGAAAATACAGTTTTTCACCAAGTCTACACGTTTAATTGCTGTGAACCTCCTAAACCTATAGGACTTAACTGGGGCTGTTCAGTCTTAATAAACCTCAAAAAAACCCTCTCTGATCACATCTGATATTGTGAAAGTCGAACAAAAACGGCAAAGCAACTCCAGAAAAGACCGACCAAACACATTTTGGTGGCAGTTGACGCTGATCAGCAGCCCACTGTGCAGAACAAAGAGACCACGATCTTGCTAATGCATCACGATATGCAGCCAAAAACCTTACAGTGGCAAGATTGCATGGAACTGATAAGCATTTTAAACGACAATCTGCTAAAAAACTACAAGAGAGGTGCTGCTGTAGAGGAGGATCAGGTAATGAGACAAACCAAGTGCCTGTGTAGCAACCTAAGAAGACTAAGGAGTAGACAAGAGGAAATCACAAACATGTGCTTTTAGTTAGACCTGAAGATCATAGTCCTCATTGAAACATGGTCATCACACAACACCATTGATAAGTGTGCTTGCAAGACATAACATATTCGATACGATAGGGCACACAAAATAGGAGGTGGGATGGCAGTATGTATTAACGGCCATTTCAAAACCGTAACACCATACAGCACTGAATTAACCGGTTTTACTTCAATGTATACGGCATGGAATGCTTGATTGAAGGGATATACTGGCTCTTCACAGGTTCTAACACTTGAAAAGATGAGATAATACAGGCGATACTAAAGTTACCACACCTTGATTTTGGCCAAATACTACCAAATAAATGCTTCAACACTCCAACATTAAATTTCAACAAGCGAGGTATAACCCGTAGAGAATGGTTCCATAAGTAGCTTGCCACAGCTGTCAAAAGTCTAAGACTGACTGAGCATATGGTTGATACCACTAGATGATACAGGGACGGAAAACCCTTAAAATTGAGCTAGTTACTGACAAATGATTAGCCTCTAGTTGAGGATGTGAATGTCCGCGCATCAGTAGTTAGTTTAAACCCTTTTCCCTTCAAGTTTGTCGTAATAACATGCGAGATTCTAGAGAGGAGGACAAGGTTGTGTAAAATTCTGGTCAAGGTCGATATTTGTACACCTATCTAAGTCCCTAGAATAATGTCTATTTCGCAATCGTAGATTTGTCATGGTGTGGAAACCTGATCTATAAGAACTTAAGTTGAACTCACATCATTAATATACTGATTCGTTCCGTCATACAGTCAGAAATATGGTGTTTAGCATTTCTAAAAAAACACAATTGAGCTGGGGGTAGAATAAAATGTTTAACATGAGAAGGAACGAGTCGTACAGATTGACCATACATGAATTCCCGAGCCAAGCCATACGAGTTGCCCTTCTCTCAATACTGTCAGAAGTAATGAAAGGACTGGTCGACGAATAAATACAGGAATGCATGGATGAAGATAATATCCCCCATGAGGCCCAATACGGGATCAGGAATGTCAGAGCATTCGTATCTAACCTCCTCATGGCATGGGAAAGCTTGATGACCTGCTGTGACCATAAGATAATAGTTCATGTAGTGTCCCTTGGTTCTGAAAAAGTCTGACACAGCACATCGTGTTCTTTACTTAGAAAAGGTTGCAAACATTAGTTTTCATTGACCCACTTGCATCCTTGCTATGAAACTATGTAGAGGACGGGATGTTTCGTACCAAGGAAAATAGAGTGCGCACGAGTTAAAAGGTCTCAAAATCAGGCATTTCACAAGAAAAAATCTTAGGTCCACCCCAGTCGTTGGCCTTTATTAACAAAACACAAGATAGCAAAAACCGAAAAATGGGTAGTAGACAATGGGTTAAAATTTAACCTGACGAAATGTCATGTCATAGACATTCTGCCTCACATGGCATAAAGCACTTTACGGAAATCAACTGTCAACTATCTCCTCAGAGCGTGATTTGGGGCTCGTAACCGCAAGGGACATAGGGACCCGTCCAAACGACACAAGGAATGCAACCAAGGCAAACGCACACTCCACTTTATGTGAAAATGACTTGATACAATCCCTCCAAAGCTTTTCTTAACATTGTTTAGGGAGTACACACAGCCCAACCTTAAGGTCCACAAAGTCATAGCTCCTTCGCTCTTTAAAAAAAATAAATCTCTTGGCTCAAGTACACGAGTGGGCATCCAAGCGGATGATAGTTATAAAACAAATATTACGAGGAGAGACTCTAGCATTTAGAACTATTTTCGTCGGGCTTCAGGAGAATAACGTCACGCAACACACTAAGTACGCCGAGCCACGCTAACGCAAGCATATTACTAGAACGCTCCTTAGGGCAAACCCCGAAAGACTACATATCATTAGGCGAATACCCAGGTACACTCTCAATGTCTCTCACTAAGAGTTGCCCCTATTTGGAGTGCTCTCACAGAGAAGTTGCCAAAGACCCTCAGTGAATAGCTTTAAAAAGAAGCTGGGCAAACACATACTCGCCGGTGGATTGCAATCCCCTCCTTAGACTGGCTATGTCTAGGCCGTGCCTCGTAAATTACTACGGTTATAAATACTGTTTAAATAGTAACTACTTCCCATCTCACTCATTAGGTCTGACAAGCTTATTTTGTAAATAGTTTTTAATATTATTTGTATTTATTTTGTCAATTTTTCACTGCATGTACATTTATCATTAAATGATTGTACCTGTCGTTTAAGTAAATGACCTTGAAGACTTTTTCTTTGCAGGCTTTTAATTCTGCATCGTCTGCTTGTAACTTAGCCAAGGTTTCAAGGCTGATGTCATGATTGAGTACCATCGTATTGATATCCCTCCTAGATAGTGCATCTGCAACAATGTTCGTGTGACTTTTGATAAACCTGATGTCTGTGGTAAATTGAGAG